TGTGTGTGTGTGTGTGTGTGTGTGTGTGTGTGTGTGTGTGTGTGTGTGTGATAAACCATTTCATTACGTGCTTGTTCTTCTATTTAATGGGTAGCACTTATGGTGCATATATAGCCAGAGTGCCTCAAAGCTCTTTATCTTTCAAGAGTGTCCATGAATTATTGTACTGGTGGTTGCCTGACTGCTAGCACTGGAGAGGGAGGCTGATGCAGAAGTTCTCCATGTCTTACAGGGGGGGACAACACAAATGCTCCATTGAAAGCTTTATAGTGGTTCTGCAAATCATCTGTGGCCACAATAGAATTTTGTGGATACAGATCTTTATAACTCCATTCTTATTTATAAAAGAAAATGACTTATTCATACCACTTGCTAGTTTTTATAAACGAATTTATTGGAGAGTTCATATTCTCATTAAAACACTTGTCTCTAAGCCTTGCCTAAATATCCAATAGTTTTAAAAAGTTGCTCTGAGAGGAACAGTGAATATTTTCTGTATTTCTATTATCTTCTGAAATGTATCCTTTCCCAAACAATACAAAATTCGAATCATATATTTGAGTGGTTCCCTAAGGATCACTACAGAAACACAAAGTGAAGTGAAATCAAATCACAGAAAGACTGTGATTAAGAAAAACACTTGTCCCCTCGACACCCCCCCCCCCCTGCTGTCCTGGAACAACAGTCTGCCTCTAACGCAAAGAGATCCACCTGCCTCTGCCTCCTGAGTGCTGGGATTAACGAATGCACTACCATCACCTGGCCCGACTACCAATTTTCAACTGTACCAGTCTAGGTTATTGAAAATGAGCAATTCCTGCAAAGATTTGGGGAATTTGTGTTTTCTACTGATACACTGTTGCTACTAAGTCCTTTCCCATATACCAAGAACTTGGTTATAGATCTCTGCACTTTTTGTACATTGGCAACATTATGAAATTACAACTTTGGGTAGTTCTTGCAGAATTTAACATTTTGTAAATTTTTCTCAGTGTTTAACACAGTACACTAGACTAGTAAAATAAATAAAATGATTATTAGGGCTGGAGAAATAGCTCAGTGGCTAAGAGCACTTGCTGCTCTTACACAGGACCTGGGTTTGGTTCTTAAGAACAGCTGTTGGCCCACAATCACCCTTTAACTCCAGTTCTGGGTGATCTGACAGCTTCTTTTGACTTCTGCAAGCACCAGGCACACACGTGGCACACACATACAAACATTAACACCCATACCTATGAAATTCAAGTAAGTCTTAAAAATAAAAATATTTTTAAAACATTAACAGTTGCCATAATAATACATGTTAATCTAAAATAACTTCCATTTTATGTTTTTTTTAAAGTGTTGTCTTGCTGCTGTTTTCCCTTCAGAATACAATCATTTGACTACTTAACAAAAAAAAGTAAACACAATGACAGCAGCAGTATGAAAAGTACATTAACATTGTAAATGGCAAATCAAGTATATTTGGCATACCTGCTGCATGAATAGGTGTTCTCTTCAAAACGTAGTCTTTTACGAGGATTGAAGCTCCCTGATTAATGAGGACATCCACACACTCAACATGGCCCTTAAATGCTGCAAGGTCTAAGGGCGTTCTACCACTACTATTTCTTACATCAAGATCTAACAAAGACTGTACCAACACTTCCAGCGCTTGGTGATGACCATGATAAGCCTAGAAATACAAATATATAAATTAAAACAAATACATATTCAACCAACTCCCCAAGTAGCTCCCCCCACCCCCCCAGTTCTGGGGATTGAAACTAAGGACTTGCATATGCCAGGTAAGTAAGGAAGTAAGCAAGTTTTGCCACTGAATTACATGCCCAAAACCCCACTGTGCTGGAAAATGTAAAGTAAGCAAATTCATCTTTACATTGTTACATCTGAGATAATACAAACTTTTATATTGAGAAGCCAGAAAGTTTAAACCACAGATTTTGTATATAATCACCATACTCTCCCATTAAGGAATAATCTATAAATAACAAAACCTCAACTATCAGGTGGTAACGATGCTTGAATCATGGCATACATAAAGATAATGGATGTGACAGGAAGTCATGGGAAGCTCTAGCTGTAAGGCTAGGATAAGAAGGCTCATGCTCTTTATGAGCCCAGTCACTGCGACATTGACTCCTTGACAGAACTTTACTAGACAAGGACAGAAGGGTAATTTGGTGGCTCGAGTCTTGATTTCTCAAATTAAAGCAACTACTTTTATCCCATGATGTGCCAAAGCTTAAACATAAGCATACTTTCAGCACAAAAACAGTAAATTGAGACATGGTAGAATATTTATCAAGCACGGTGCTTGCTAACTATGAAAAACAGTAAGACTTAAAAGATTTGTCAGAGAAAAACAGAGTTCCCTTCATTACACAGCATAAGGAAGCTTTCCAGAAAATTCATTTAACGAAACCAAGACATCAATCAGTGTAAATATATATTATTTACACTGGACAGAGGACTGCAGAGGGAGGAAAGCAATAAGCTTTCTTCAAAGGACGATAAAGCAGTATTTTTAGTGCAAAATGGCCATAAAGTAGGTTGGTGAAATGGCTCTGTGTACAATGGTACTTGTGACGCAAGCCTGGTAACCTAAGTGTAATTTCCACAACTCATGGAAAGGTAGGACAGACTCAAAACCATTTATGAGATGGACTGAAATGAGGTACATTCAGAGGGATCAGAGTATCCACACTAAAAGAAGGAAAGAAAGAATCAGAAAGTACAAGCAAAGAGAAAGCTTGGCTTTGCTGATGCCTGTATAGGAAGTTTAATTATCTACAAGCTTAACTATCTCAAAGATTTAGAGTATAGACAACAGAATCTAGAATCACGTCCAACTGAACTTAGCAACATAAAGTGAAACTCATGCTACTCCAAGAAGCTCTGATAAGTACATAAGCTCTTATCTACGTGGCTCCAGTGCCACCCCTACCTGCCTGCCTGCCACAATGGGTCATGGACTCAACCTCTGAAACTATAAACAAATCCCCAGTCAAAAACTTTCTTCTTAAATTGCCTTGGTCATAGTGCCTCTTCACAGCAATAGTAACAGTGGCTAAAATGTTCTCCTATTAGCTTCTGGTCATCTTTTATCACAGCAATAGAAACTTTAAGCCGGGCACCTTCTTAGGTATTTAGATAAGTACGGTGAGGGAGGGGAGCAAGAGGCAGAAAGAAAGATTTAGTTTGTTAGTGTTTGATCATATGCAAAGAGAAAATGAAGATAAAAAGTTTTGGAACATGTGAAAGAAACAAACAGATGACTAACTTCTAGTGATCCTGCTAAATGAAGTTGTATACGTAACATCAGAGGTCATATAAATAGCTGGTGATATATCCTGGTCTTCTGATGATTATAGTCCTCCACCCAAATTTGTTTAAAAAATAAATTCTTTCAGGCCAGAGGAGCTGAGATGGGTTTTACTTATTATTTCCTAATCTCCTTGGCTTATGGATAGGAAATTATAGAGCATGTACCAAAATCCTACAGCAACGAGCAGGTGGATGGAGGTGGATGGAGGTGGATGGAGGTGGATGCAGGTGGATGCAGTGCGGACTCTACAGTTAGCTGGCACTCATGGCCACAAGCAAGGCAACAACTGCTGAAATTTAGAGAGACTGTGGTGTAGAGCACCTGCTCATCAAATTACAGTCCTACTAGGGCAGCACATTTTAAACTCAAAGTCATGTTCTTTCACTTGAAAGCAGGGCTTAAGGGAGCTAAGGACCACCACTCAAAGGTAAGTGAGAAGCAGATACCAAGAATACACTAAAGTTTCTGGATTAAATCAGTTCTTAAAGTTTTAATTCTACGATAATGTCTAGGGTTCTGTTTTGAGTTAACCTAAGTAGAGTTATGCAGTGAACTAGCTAACTGGCTACGAGGGTAGTACTTACAGCCAAATGTAAAGGACTTATTGTTGCTCTATTATCTGAATCACTCAACATGTCTGTTCCCGAGGTTTCCATTAACTGAAAAAATGAGAGGCATTAAAAATCTTAGGAGAGACATTTAAGAATGTTAGAAATAATACTTTTAAGTATATCATAGCAGTTATTTCTCCCATCCCTCACTCCAAACCATATTAGAGCACATCAATAACTCAGTAAATTCACAGGACAGGATAATCACAAAAGTATCGTAAGAACCACTGACTCTGAGCTTTATCAACTAGGTGTTTGGGGAAATGTTCTTCCATCAGGTAAACACTTCCCCTTCCTGAACACACTGTCTTGTCACTGTCTTGGTCTCAGGGGTACTATGTGAAAACATGTCTAATTTTATTCTAACGAAGAAACACACTATCTTGAATGGTAGTATTCTATTTTGAATGTTATGGGGGAATCAATACTTACAACATCTAAAGGAGTTTCACTTGCAATCTGAAATAAAATTAAGAAATGACATTTTATGAAGTTATTCATATATATTAATATATTTGATATCTTTATTAATATAGGGCTTTTTTGGTTTGTTTTAAATCCATGCTTTGCCTCCAGAAAAGAAGTCTTTTACACAGATAATTAGACATAACAATAGACAACACATCTATATACACAGCCTAAGATTTTGGTCTAAAGAACCACAGTAACCTACAAAATTATGGGTTATTTTTATAGTAGCACACTACATGATATTTAAATATGCTGACCTTCTTATATACCTTTCTTGAATTTTATTTTCTATCAAAGGGAAGCAATGCTTAATGTTGATAAAGGAAACTTTAACCTGAAGGATCTGTAACACAGGAGTGTATTTGAACTGGTTCTGAATGGTGTGTATACTCCAAGGACGAGGCCACAGATGAAATTCAAGCTTCCTTTGCAGAAGCAGACTACCCCTCGTTAGGAAGAACTGAGAAACGAAAGGCCCTTGCAGGGTTCTCTAAACATATGGGAGAAATCTCACTCTTTCAGGGGTTTTCATTTTTATTTTTCAAGTAAGATATGGCTGTAACTTTACAAGAAATATGGAAACTATTTATTTAAAGGAATAGAAATAAACACAATACAGCTAGAGCCAACTATTAGAAGGATTTGGAGGTTGGTAGTATATAGCTGTCGGCAGTGTGCTTGCATGAATTGAGTCCCAGCACACAAGGTGTGATGATACATGCTCAGGATTCAAGAAAAGTTCACGGTCATCCTTGGCTACATAGCTAGTTTGAGGTCAGCCTGGCTATATGTGACTGTCTTAAGAAACACAACATGATTTTAGGAGCCTTCTTCAGAGATTTATCTGGTTTTGTTTGTTTTTTTGAGGCGGTGTCTCACTATGTTGTTCTGGACTCAAGCCAGTGTCATGCCTCCCAATTAGGACTACACTGCTGTGCCTGACTCCCCCTCAAGAGATTAAATACCCTGTCATTTAGACAATATCTCACTGTAGCCCAGGGTAGTCTAGAACTTAACACTATTACTGCTTTAGCTTTTCAAGGACTAAGATTACAGGTATGTTGCTACCACACTGGGCTCAGTGATATTATTTTTTTCCTTTTTCTGAAAGGAAAAGAGGAGAGTTATCTTATTGAGCAACCTTGAATTTAAGAGGTAAAAGAAGTTTGAATATGTTAAAAAACAAAACTGGATGTTTTCTGGACCATTTAGTCATGTTATCAAACTACGAACTCACACCAGTCTGCCATGAGAACTCAGGAGTCTTACCAGCTGAAGACACAGACGGTGGCCATATGCAGCTGAGTAATGAACTGCATTGTATCCTTGCTTGTCCCGGATCCCGGGATTTGCATCATTTCTTAGTAAGTATTCCAGGCACCTAGATACAATAACAGCAAAATGAAAATTCTGAAAGTTACATTTAAATACATTATAAAAAACACTGCCAACAAAACAAAACAAAACCACATGCCAAAACTAATCAGACCCAAAGACTATAAAACCCAATAAACTTTTCTAAACAGTAAGAATAACCATTTGGAATGGAAACTGTGGGATTACACACTCAATTTTATATTTTTAGTATCAAATACATTTTTAGATCCTAATCCACATTCATTCATTCATTCATTCATTCATTCATTCATTCATTCATTCATTCGGAACAAGGTGTATATGAATGTATTAGAAATAAGGCATCTCTACATAGTTCTGGCTGTCCTGAACTCTGTATTCTAGGCTGGTCTGAACTTAAGAGATCCTTCTGCCTTTGCCTCCCACCACACCTTGCCTTTCTAATTACATTTTAAACCAATGATTAAATACTGGTAATTATTATTTTGTTAGTAAAACTTTTATATCCATGATTACATACTGTAAATATTATATCCAAACTATAATTGCTTGGTTTGTTGTTGTAGTTGTTGTTAATTTTATTAGGCTTTTAACAGGGAAAGGGCTCTTTTATATAATTATTTGGGAAGAAGTCTAAGTAACTACTGGTTTCACACAATGGGGCTATTATATATGTCAGGTACATTTGTGCATTGGGTCATTGCTACCATTTTCTTAATTTGGTCTAAATCTCTGAAGTCTTAATTTTGTTTCAAAAGTACAGGCTAAATTAATGCATAAAAATTGTATGTAGCTGTAATACTACTAATGCTTTTGTGCTTGATAAATCATCAAGGTACAAGGTATCTAACAATACAAAACTCTTAACAGTTTTACCAACCTGTTATTATCCAAACTATAGCTGGTGTACTGTTTTGTAAGCTGCTAAGCCATACACAACAGATTTGCATACTTTTGTCTATTAATATTATTCAGAAGCATGGTTTCTGACAAGTCAAACAGTACTCTGTTGAGATTAAAACTTGGCTCACAGGGATCTTTGAGCACTAACAGACTGCTAAAAGATCAAGGGTGTGTGTGGGTGTGGAGAGGTGTTATTCACTCATTCAGATAATAAGGGTCAATATACACTCATAAGATGGCCAGAATCAGGTTTTTAAAAGACAGGGTTCTCTGTGTGGCCCTGACTGTCCTGGAACTCATTCCGTAGACCAGGCTGGCCTTGAACTCAAGAGATGTGCCTACATTTGCCTCCTGAGTGCTGGGACTAAAGGCGAGTGCCACTACCACTTGGTAATATAGTTCTTGATAACCTTAGCTCTGTAGATTTAAAAAAATATTTTTTATTTTTAATTATGTGTGTCTGTGTGTAGGCATTCACATTTTGATGCTAATCCTTATTTCTTTTCTTTTCCAATTTATGTGTATGTATGTGTGTGTGTGTGTACACAAATTGTGTGCAGGAGTGCACAGCCACTACTCTCTGCCTTATTCCTAGAGACAGGATTTCTCAGTGCATCAGGAGCTTTTTTTAAGCCAGGTTGGTGGCCAGTAAGCTCTAGTGATCCACCTGTCTCTGCACTCTACCCCAGTGCTGGTTACACGTGTGTGTAGCCACGTCTAACTTTTTGCATGGTTTCTAGGGATCCTAACCCAGGTCCTTATGCTTGCACAGAAATCACTCTTAACTACAAACCCATTTCTCCAGCTCCTAACTGCTATTCCCCTAATGCTGAACTGTCTAAAACCATTCAGATTTCTCAGGGATTACTTTCAGAAATATATATAATTACCCTCAATGATAACAAATAGCACCCTTCAAGCAGGAATTGCTTGATATTTTGAGCTCAATTATCTGGTCCCAAGTGGAAGGAAAATAGGTTCGTGAAAATTGTCCTCTGACTTATATATGTGTGCCCGTATCTGCACATTTACCAACATACACATGTACAAAGAAGTAATAATTGTGTGTGTATGCACGTGTCTGGGTATGGATATGTGTGTCTAATGCGTGTGGAAGTCAGAAGACAACCCTGGGTATCAGACCCCACTCCCATCTTTGAGACTTGTGAACTCCCAGGGATTCTCCGGTCTCTGACTTCCACCACACAGTACAAATGCTATAATTCTAGGTGTTTACTACTGATTGGGATTTACAGAGATTCTGAGGTACTCAGAATCTTGTGAGGTCAAGTGCTTTATTCACTGAGCCTTTTCCCCAGTCAGAACCAGATGTATTTTTAAAAAGGGTAAAAAAGTGAAAAATAAAACATAGACTTTTAATGTTAAGTATAACTTCCCAGAAGTATGTTTTTTAACATCTTTCTCTAGGAATCATCATTCTTTCTAACATTTCACTCTTTGCTGACTCAGACACATGGGGATAACTAGAAACACTCAAGATCTAAACTACTGTTTTCATTGAGTTTATTTTAGTCTAAAAGAAAAAAAAATGGATCTGACAATAGATTTCTTATGGAACACTTTATATACCACTTATCCTGTCTTCTCAACCACTACTCTTGACCTTAGCCTGCTATCTAATAATATTTATTTAAGCAACATGCACCTACTATGTGCCAATCCCAGAACCTGGGAGGCAAACGCAGACAATCTCTGAGTGCAAGGCCAGCCTAATCTACAGATCAAATTCTAGGACAGCCAGAGCTACACAGAGAAAACCTGTAATGAAACACCAAAAACCAACCAAACAAATACTGTTTTGTAGGAAGGAGAAAAGACCATCTTCTATCATATTTTTCAAGTAAGGGCCAGATGCTTGGAAGACAGCAGCAGCTAGAATTTAGTAATAATTAAAAAAAGTCTTTATTTTACAAATTGAATTCAGGGAATAATAATAAAAATACAAAAAGGAAGCACATTTACAGTAAGCAGCGCTCACACAGATGCCAGTTTATAGGAATGGTAGCCCTCCCCTGCCCACGCGTACTCACTTGCCGTCTGCGTCTGATGTAGCCGCATAGTGCAGCGGCGTGCAGCCTCTTTCATCCAGGTCATTCACACTTGCCCCTGACCCCACAAGAGCAAACAGGCACTGGTAATTGCAGTTGGCAGCAGCGTAGTGCAGGGGAGATCTTTTGTGGCCACATTAACACAAGAAAAAGAAAAGCCAAGAATGTACACTTATAAACAGAGCACAGCTGACCCTTACTCCACACATTTAGCTACAATATAGTCTCCTCTATACAACCTCTCTTTTTTCAATTACAACCTCTATATTTTGCCTAGAAACCTAAACACTCTCATTTTAATAAAATGTCCCATAGTCCATGCCTTGAATGATAAAGCAAAGAGGAAAAAACAAAAACAAAAACAAAACAAAGGACAACAACAACAAAAACAGAAGCACAAAAGAGTTGTTCTCAGCCCCACACAGGCCTGAACAGTAACACTAGATTTCTCAGGCAATAAGCTAGGCAGAGTCTTAGACACTAATTTCCTACCCAGAAGAGCTCATGTACTGCTTTAAATCTCTAAAGACTGAATAACCATAGCTAATTTCTCTCTAATTACTAAAATCACACAGAATACTATTAAACATAGGAGCAACTATTTTAAGATGATAAAAATAAGATAATTCTATGATTTTATTAAATGAAAACCCAGAAATTATGGAAAGTTTGATTCAGAGCTTCTTACAGTGTATTTTCCCCCTCTAATTCTTTTACCTGATGCCCAGCTATTACAGAGATTTTTAAAATGCAGTTAACCCCGGAAATATAAAGCTATAAAATTCATAATAGAATATACTTCAAAACCCTCTGTGCTATTTGTTGCATGGAATGTGCAAATAATTACTAATAAGAAAATTAGCTATGAAATTTCATCTTGTGGGCCATTCAGTCCTTCTATTAGTACATTTATGAGCTCAGTTTATTCCTCAAGTATTATGGGGTCAAACAGCATTTAGTTTCTTCTATTCATTTCTTACTTCCTGCCATACACAATCCTTTCTCTTTTTCTTCTGCACTGGTACTATTATAAACACAGTACACTCCCACACATTTCCTTCTGGTTTCCCAGAACAGTCTGACAAACACAGCTTTTACCTGCTCACAAATATTGCTTAGACTGTCACCTACATCTTCCAAACAAATTCAAATGGCATTTACTTCTTTTCTGCATGGTCTTAATGTACTGTGTGTGTCTACTCCTGACATGATTAGGAATGGATAACAGAAGCTTCAACTGCTATTACTACAAATGCTAGCAGCAGGCTAGACAATGAGATTTTATCCTTTTGTAGCTGTTCCCCTGCAGATTGTAGTCAGCAGGTTATATGGATGTGAATAAGAAGACAGAGGGAAAAAAAAAATCACACATATATTTGTAACCTATTTTTTTCCTTCTAGTAGTGGGAAGTAGGGTTTCTCATGAAATGACCTGGGAAAATTTTAGGTGCTATGTGTTTTTCTGAAGGCACTTTGGTTCAGTGAAATTTTAAATTTCCACACTATGGTTATGGGAGAGGACAATCAATATCAAGAAGGATTGGAGAGCTGGAGAGATGGCTCAGCAGTTAAAGAGTACAGGCTGCTTTTCCAGAGGACCTGGATTCTACGCTCAACATCCACATGATGAGCTCACAATGATCTGATGCTCTTTTGGCCTCCATGAGCCCTGTGCACATGTGATGCATGGGCATACAAGCAGACAAAATAATTAAGATAAATTCTTAATAATCTAAAAGGAGGGCAGATGTGGCCTTTGACTGCAGTGGAACCCAGTTAGAAGACTAGGGTTGAAAACACTTAGCCCCTACTGACTTTGGCTGGCTAGTGTGCACTGGTGCTCTTTTTTTTTTCTTTTTTCTTTTTCCTTTCAGCAGTGCTGGGATCAATCCCTGTATATTTGAGAAAGGTAACCACATCCCACGCCCTACTTCAGACTCTTAACTAATCATGATTACAACTCAAAAGATCCTGTATGACACATAAAATTGCATTTCAGAAGTTGTTAAAGGTCAAGCAAACTATTTGGTAAGCAAATTTAACCTCGTTTTACGGAGTGGTTAAATCACAGATTACCTTCCAAATTTATCCTTTTTGTTGAAGTCTGCACCAGTATTTAGCAGAAGGTTTAGGCACTCCAAATTTCTAGTTAGGGGAAAAAAAAAGTTTGAAAGTATAACTGTCAGTGATTGTATTATAAAAACGGTAGGCTTAAAGAAGCATAAATGCATATTTTAAAATGAGGATTACTTTATATTTTATAAAAGATAAAACATTAAAATTCATTTGTAAGAGATCCTAAGAGATTTTTAGAAAACCAATACTTATATTTAAATGTCTTAAATTTAAGGGATTTTAAAATACTAAATTAAAATGAACTAAGAACAAAAAAATTCCTGTATCCTTAAAACACATATAATAATAGCAAGTGAATGTCCCCCACTGTCTCCTAAACTATCATTACTTAATCAAACTGAACCTTAGTTAAAACTGTAGGACACTCTTGCACGCTTGTTATAACTTTTTATAAACCTAACATCAGCTTTTTATAGTATAATGACTTCTCCTGCGGGCAACACACACACACACACACACACACACACACACGGTTTTTAACTGACATGTCCTCTGGTGGCCTTAAAAGGACAAAGGACTGATTCACATATGTTCATCATCTCTGTAATTTAGACTTGGTGTCATTCTTGGTTTCAAAGAACAATTGTTCTTTGAAATCACAGAAAAATATTAAGAAGTTATCACTAGAAATAAAGCATGAATGAAATGGCTTAATACAAATCTAGACTACCAGAAGCATTAAGGTAACAGAACGCCTTCAGAGACCAGATGCTCTGTCATCCAGCAGAACTAACTTTCCCCACAGTGCTTCCTAAAACTAAATCTAAACAAGGAGGGTGGTGCACGCTTGCAATTCCAGCACCTCAGAGGCTGAGGCTGGAGGACTGATCGTTAAGACAGCCTTGGCTACATAGCAAGACTCTGTCTCACAAATCTAGGAGGAAAAAACCTCAAACGATATAAATAAAACTTAGTCTAAACTGTTCTAATCACAATTATTTCTTCTTCTAAGCCAAGACATAATTGTATCATCAACATTTTTTCTTGAAGATACTATTTTTAAAATACCATTTACAGAGTATGAAGTATATTATTTAGAATATGCAAATATTTTTTATATTCTCATAATTTCATGAACATTTTTATTTGTTGAGACATTATCTTCTTTTATAAAAATATTTCCTTTTGTAGGTTTTTTCTTCCTGGCTTAATACTTATTACTTAGTTGAAAGAAGACAAAAACAAAAAACCTACCACCATCACAAAACAACAACGAAAAAAACAAAACCAGTTTTGGCTACCTTTGACTGTCTTTTGTTAAACTCCAGCCAGTTTCTATTTTATGGCAACTCAGAACTAATGAAGAGGAATAAAGAGAGAGCCTCCGTGACTGGTGTTGGTCTCTCTCTGGACTGACCACAGGTGCTCTTGGGATACTAAGTGTCTACTCTAACATTGACTTCCATCATTCTCTCTGTACTTTAAAAGAGATGAAAATACTATTAACATACCCTCCAGCTGCAGCTGCATGTAGACAGGTCCTGCCAAAATCATCTGGGGTATCTATGTCAAATCCTGTAGAAATGAATATATATCTTCTCTCATATAATATTATAGATGTATTACTTTGCATTAAGACAGTATATAAAAAATGTCAAATATCATGATGTTCTTTTCAATCCCAAGCAAACCTATATATTCATAACAAGTACAAAATGAATAAGGAAAGAAAACACTAGTAATGTACAAAACTAACAACAACAACAAAAAAATAACAGTAAAGGTTTGTCAGTTTTACAACAAATGCTACAGTGCTTGTTGAAAGACTATACTAGGAGTGATGGGTCACACCTTCAGTTTCACAGTCCAGCTGCACACAAGGCTAAGGCAGAAAGATCCCTTGAGCCTCGGCTAACCTTGGTAACATGGTCTAAAGCCTGTCACAAGCAAGCAGGCAGGCAGCCAGGCAGCCAGGCAGGCAAACAAAACCATTATAATTTCTAAAACGCTATCGTAATGGTAGTAACAGTCAACAACACAACAACAAGAAAGAAGTGAAGTATCAATAAAAGACACAAATATAACCCTTTAAGAACATAAAGTGAAAAAGATTTTGTTAGGTGATTCTACAGAAAGGTATTAGGTGGCTAATATATCCCACTACGCTCCTAGTGTTTCTTCCACAGGGATTAAAGACGCTCCACAATGGCTGCAAACCCACACAAACATATTCTAAATATTGAACTGTATACATTAAGTAAGTGAATTTCTAAGTGTGTAGCACACAAATATCTCCATAAAGCGCTTTAGCCAGGCATGATGGTACACACCTGTCATCTGAGCACTTGGGAAGCAGAAACAGGAGAATTGCAAGTTCAAGGTCAGCCTTGGCTTTACAGACTCTCCACTCATCATCTCCCTCCCTTCTAAAAAAAAGGATATGTACTTTGTTCCATGTGGCTATTATTAATACCAGGGAGAGATTTTAGTATTTCTTTTCATGCAAATTGGAAATGAACAGTTTCATATGAATAGTTGTCAATAAAGACTTAAAAAAAAAACCATAACAATGAATTTACACACATAAAAATATATCATACACATTAACAAAAACAACTCCTCCAAACCTCAGAAGAGTGCCTCACTATATAATACTTTCACTGAAACTACATTTATTTCAGTAAACATGAATGCTAATATTTAACTTTTTTATATACTGAGAAATACAAAATAATTAAAAATTAATGAAGTCGTCTATAGTCAGTAATTCAATCCATTTAAAGAATTATAGTTTGCAATAATACTGATAAAAATCCACACCAATTATAGTTAACAGCATTTTAAACTATGTACTGGTAATGAATTAATAATTTATGAGCCTATAAGATATTCATATAGGACTTTTAATTCTCAAAACAAAGACCAATGAAACATGCCAGTTAAGGTATTTTGCTTCTAGGACTCGTTGAATAGGACACGTTAAGAAGACTACCATTACTGGGTAAGAGCTGCTCTACAGACACTCTACACCATGTCAGCAACTCACAAACAGAATCAAGTACAAGAATAAAGCATTTTTCAGAACTGATGAGATTGACCACAGAGAAGGAGAGGGAGGAGGCAAGAGGGGAGAGAGAGAACTCGCAAGCAAGCATGCACAAACAAGCCAGTCTGTGCAAAGCCCCACTCACCTGAAGAGAGGAGTTTCCTGCAGCAGTCTGAGAAACCACTTAAGGCTGCCAGATGGAGCGGGAACATCCCATGTATACCACGCCTTAAGTTAAGAGGACAGAAACTTCATCACAATACACAAAAACACAGTAAGTTAAATATATTATAGAGACATCACTTAAGTAAAAGATAACTGGTTGAGCAGAAATACTTAATCTCTTAATACTTTACTTTGGAGAAAATCTGGCCAATTATTGAAAAGCGGTGTAGTTCATCCCTTAGCTGTACTTTCCAAAGCTTGTTTCTCTAACCTCAGCACTATCATCATTATAGACTCACTGTGTATATATGGGTCTATATTGTAAATGTTGAATGCCCAGCAGCACCTCTGAAATACATCATTGATACCGTTCTCCCCAACCAATTGGGGGTATTTGCTCAGGGAGCAAAACTTCTGCCCATCTCACCCCACCATGTAAGACCATTTCTGCAAGGTAGAAGGTTCATCTCAGTCACTCTGTAACGGTGGAAAATTGACAGCAACTTGATGGTAAATAAGAGAATACTGAATCCCATAAAATAACCAGTGATATCTATAGAAATGTGAAAAATCTCAAGCTTCTATTAAGCCTCTATATGGCTAATTCAACATTAATATACATTTTTAAACCATAAAAATCTCTTACTTAGTAGCATATCACTTACAAATATAGAGTTTACAATTTGTTCATGAATACTTATAAAAACAGACAGAAACTGGAAACAATTTGAGTATGATCTTGACTTTATACAAAATAATGCATGTTTTAAAAGCTTATAGGGCAACTTTAATATATAAAATAATAAAGAGTGAACTTTTTGATTAAAAAAGTTGGGGTTGTTCCACCACCTAGGGACTCCTGGAATTTGTACAACAGAGTTTAAAACCACTGTCAAGAGATGGTCCGAAAAATAGCATTTGGTGTGTATAATTGTTGGAACTTCTGGATTAAAAACAAAGGAATCATAAAAGTTAAAATTCTTATCAAAACTTTGTATTATTTATGCGGGGGGGGGGGAGACAGAAATGTAAAAACATGCCACACTGACTAATCAAATAAAATTATACATAGAACATTTCAAATTTACCAATGTCAAAAATATAAGGCAAAACAAAACCCAAACAAACAAACAAAACCCACGAAACAAATAGTCAAACCAATTACTACCACGTTGAAGATCAAATGAACGTTTCTACTGGGAACAGCTAGAAAACTCTAGTTCCCCACTTTTGTTCTTCCCCAGATAGCTACCACCACCTCCATGAGCGCTACTCACTTTGCAGTGTCAGCACCACTTGTAATAAGAGTGTTGATGAGCAGCTCATGGCCATACCGGGCTGCTATGTGCAAAGGGGTATTTCCATTCTTATCTTCACAGTCAATTACAGCTCCTGCAAGAAAGGATGTAGTGTCAGGCACTAGATTACTTAACAGTTTGGCCAAAACTGTTAAATGCAATGTAATGTAAGATGTTGGATAACGATATTCTAACTAATTCATTCATAGCATATTTACTGGAGTTACTAAGTGCATATTTAAAGCAGTTTTGTGAATTGAGCATAGGATTTAAACATATTTTAATCTAACAGAAGGGTTCTAGGTGCAGTGAGTCACGAGACTACGATGCTAAGGACCATGCTTTAGAGCAGCACTTCAGAGTAATCCTGTGCTTCCTGATGACGACTGCTTATAGCACTTTACAAATCTTTACATCATGAGCTCTTTTAACCCCTTGCAGAACTCCAGCAACAAAAAGCTAACAAAGAGGTTCTTGGGGAAATGGCTCAATGAACAAAATGCCTGCCATTAAGCCTGAGCAACAGAGTTCATGTTTAAGTCATATTGGGCATGGTAGCACCCATCGATAGGCCAAATGCTCAGATGATGAGTTGGGAGATGGGGATGAAAAAATCCCTGCAAGTGTGTGGACCAGCAGTCTGCAGCTAATATCTTAAGTCTGGCGTGTGCACGGCAGAGGGTGAGGACTAGTGCCTGAGGCTGTCCTCTGATCCCGCCATGTGCACTAAAGCACTTGTATTCCTTTCTTCCACTGTCTTTCTCATACACATATGCCACACACACACAGATTGTTAAAAAAAAAAAAAAAAAAAAAAAAAAAAAAAAAAAAAAAAAAAAAAAAGGGCCAACAAGGGGCTGAAGAGCAGGCACAGGATCTTCTTCCAAAAGACCTGGGTTCAATTCGCAGCACCTACACTGAAGTTCACAGCAATCTGTAACTCGAATCCTAGGGATTCTGACACCTCTTCTGGTCATCATATGCATGTGGTGCACAAGGATACAGTCAGGTAAATATTCATGTACACAGAATAAAAAATTAACAAAATCTTAAAAAGGACAATACAAATCTTCAATAAAATTGAAATCTTAAGGACTATTAACAAACAGTCCTTTGGAACACAGTCTGAGAAACAGATTTGCATTAACAGACATAAAATTATTTTATTTAAAAGTTTAGTTTGTCTAGTACTAATTCAAACACAAGAGAATAAAGTACAGAAAATAAATCAAAAACCCAAGAGTTCAAAATGCAAAGAGGGAAAAATGAAAATGCAAAAAAGCATGTATCAATATATATTACATGTAAAAAGGTAGCTTTCCAATTAGAAATACTGGGGGAAAAAGGTCAACACTAATTAAGGTAAAATTCATGGGCAAGATGGTGCATGTGGTAAGAGTGCTCTGGATTCAAGGCCAGCTGAGGCTATGCAAAAGACTCCTCTCTTCTCGTTCCCTCAAAAGACAAAGAAATGAACTAATAATTCAGAAGAATAGAAATGACATATATTTCTATGAATATATAGACTGAATGACATATATTTGTGGTATTTTTATCCTGTGCCGATTTTCAAGAGATTTAAAATAAAATCTTAACAGCATATATACCGCTATGGAAATTCCACAGTGCCACTCACTTTGTGGATTTAAAAAAAAAAAAAAAAATTCAAAACAAAACAAAAACCAACCAAACAAAAAACCCTCAAACAAACTACACTGAAGAAATAAAAGAAACAAACAGAAATACTTTTTACCACTCTGGATAATGGTCTGTGATCTGGAGAATCTACCGTGGAGGGCGGTCATATGCAGTGGGGTTTTTCCATCTTTACTCTGAAACAATGGAAAACGTAAATTATTCAGCTACTATGCTATACCCAGAATATGCATCCCTCAGTTATACTTTACATTTTATAAATATTACTCAAGAAGCAAGTCTTATGAAGGTAATCCAGCTGTTCAAAGTATGAACTGGCTATTTATTTTTTAGTATGTATATCAAATAAAAAACACATGAAAAACTCCATGCTTACTATTTATACTAATCCTGTGTGGCACTGTAAAGGTAACCTTAACATTCCACTCTACAGGTAGGAAATTAAAACACAGAACATTAAATGATTCAACCAAGGGCACCATAATCCCAAGTCACGATGTGCTTCCCAAGTTTAGCATTCGAACTTTCACCTTGCACCAACGCTTTCATTTTATGAAACCTGGAGCCTCCTACCTTGAGTCACTGTAAGTCATTGAAAACCGTGTCTTAATTTGTTTACAATAATTATTTGTAATCAATGTTGCTATTTTCTTCAACTATTTAAGGTCTTCAGACTGGCTGTGCATTTCTATATTTCAGAAGAAATTCCAAACGTGAAAAACAATGCCCAATTGATAATATTATCTTCCTAGTTAAATGATGTCTTTTTTATCTCTAAAATCTTTTGGCGAGTTAAACTATACAAAGGGAAAAAAACGGTTTTGTGTTCCTAACCCTTTGGCACTCTGCAACATGCCTTCGGTACATTTATTACCAAATGTACCAAGTTTGTTCTAATCCTGTAAAACTTTTCATGTTATATAGGCATGACTGGTTATCAAAGGATTTGATTCTACGATCTTGCTAGCTTGTTTGGGGACAGGGTCACACGATGTCAACTCAAGTTCACTACATATCCCAGAATGGCTTTGAACTTGTAATCCTACCACATCAGCCACCCAAGTGCTGGAATTATAGGGATACACTACCGCGCCCAGGCTGCTTCTTTAATTTATATTATTTTTGACCTTTTCTTCCTCAAATGAAAATGAGGATATTATCTACACTTTACATGTCTGTTGCACAGTCTAAATATAACCAACTTTGTAAACCACTTACATAATATACCTATACTTGTTATTTTATTCCTTTAACCAGGAGAAAAAGCAGCAGATATTTAACAAAAGCACTCTAATTTCATGTTTCCAAAAATTTTCACTGACACTAATTTCAACTTAGTTTAATTTTACCAACAGCTATTTTTGTAGACAAAAAGAAAAGCAAATAAGAATGTATAATGAAAACAGGATTCATAATATAGTGAAATTTGATAAATATGACTTCAGTTAACATTTTTAAGTCTTGTAAACAGATCTTAGGTATAATATGTTAGTCATTTAATCCTCACAACCCTGAGACAGATACTATTATCTTCAGGCCAGCGAGATGGCCTAGTGGGAAGAAGAGCTCACTGCTAAGCCTTGAGTTTGATCTGGACATACATGGTAGGCGTACAGCAGACAACCCTGCAAGTTGTCCTCCGATCTCAACATGCATGCAAGTACAATACACACTTTAACAAGTGTGAAAGCATAACAAGATTTACATGAAAATACACTATTCCTTCTGTTTTATAAGCAAGAAGACAGAGCCTGAGATGAAAGAGTTCCATTTTGTCTTCTAGCTAGGAAGAAATGGCCTTCTATAAGCTTATAGAGAACATTACGGTAGTTTTACTTTCTATATACTGATCACAGAAGGCATATATACAAAGGAAGGAATATATAGAGAAGGTAAATATACAAAGAAAGAAGAGGATTAAGGTTACCATTTGAAAAATATGCCTTAACACCAGTAGGACAGCATGTTTATTTCTCTTTGAACTGAAGAAAAAATTTGGAGATTGTCTTTAAGCATCTAAAATCATGTTAAGTGTCAAGAAGAAGTTAAATTTTAAAATATTTATTTATATATTATTTCTTTTTGTTCCATGTAAGTGAATGTGTCATGGGGACAAGCTTCTTCTATTATGTGGGTTCCAGGAATCAAACTTAGGTTGTGAGGGTTGGTGGTAAATGCCCTTGATCTGCTCAGCTATCTTGCCAGCAAATAAAGAGATCACCAACATTCTGGGAATTGTTACCAAAACCCAGTAAAAATAACAAAAGCCACATATTTTATAGTAGCTTTATGCTTAAACTTTAGTGTGATACATCTTGATGAGCTGAAAATTTTATTCTTTTATTTTGTTTACTTTCTGTTATTTCTTTTCTTTTTTTTTTATTGTAAGGCAGGGTCTCAGTACATGGTGCTGGCTGTCCAGGAACTCACTATGTAGACTAAGGTGGCCTTGAACTCTCTCAGAGACCCACCTGCCTTTGCCTTCCAAGTGCTGGGATTAAAGGCATATGGTACTACTACCTAGTTTAAAAAAAAAAAATCAATCAATCAATCAATTTATTTATTTATTTGCAACAAAGTTTCTTTCTATCTATCTATTTACCTTTCTACCTATCTATCTACTATCTATCTATCTTGTTTTTTTGAGACAAGGTAGCACTGGATGTCCTGATGCTCACTCTGTAGACCAGACTAGCTTCAAACATAGAGATCAGTCTGCCTCTGCCTCCCGAATACTGGGATTAAAGGCATGTGCCACCACTTCCGGTTGAAAAATTTATTAAGAACAGAACAGCTGGTCTTGTTCACAATCTCAGCACTCAAGAAGCTAAAGCAGGAAGAGCTCTGAGTCTGAGGCCAGGCTAGGGTATACAGAAAGAAACTGTCCCAAAATAGAGATACTCAGGCATTGTGCTATACTCAACTATAAATAATCCCAGCATTTATGAAATAGAAGCAAGGCCAACCTCAATATAGGAGAAATTAAAGGCCAGTCTGGGCTACAAGAGAACCTGTCTCTACAACAGGGAGAGAAACTGTTTTAATTAGGGTTGCTACTGCTGTGATGAAATACCATGACAAAAACAACTTGGGAAGGAAAGGGTTTATTTGGCTTACACTGTTCATCACTAAAGGAAGTCAGGACAGGAACTCAAACAAGGCAGGAAGTGCAGGAGGCAGGAGCTAATACAGAGGCCACAGACGGGTGCTGTTTTACTGCTTGCTCTCTATTGCTTGCCCAGCCTGCTTTCTTATAGAACCCAGGGCCACCAGCCTAGGGATGGCCCTATACACAATAGGCTGGGCCCTCCCTCATCAGTCCTAATTAAGAAAATAAATAATAAATGCTTTACAACTGGATCTTATGGAGGCATTTTAAGTGAAGTTTCTTCTTTTCAGATAACTCTAGCTTGTGTCAAGGTGTAAGTATAGGACTAGTCATCCGAGAAAGAGAAGGAAAAGGAGACCAGGGGACATAACATGACAAGAGGAAGTTAGGGAGTAATATAGCAGGTAGAAGAAAGAATGTGTATATATGCAACCAAAACAACCAATGTAATGCGGCTCATGTTAAGAAAAGTTATGTGTAGAATAGCCAGGAATGGTGGTGCACGCCTGTAATCCCAGCATATGGGAGGGAGAGGTAGGCGTATCTCTGAGTTCAAGGCCAGCCTAGTCTATAAATCGAATCCAGGAGAGCCAAGACTACATGGAGTGACCCGGTCTCAAAAAACCAAAAAGTTATAGAAACTAGACCATAATTATGTTTTAGAGCACATTTACGTTTACTGCTCTTGAAAAAAAAAAATCAAATGGTTAGAAAGCCAATGACTATAAATTTAAATTCACATTTCAATTTCTATATTTACAACATGAGTGCAGAAACAAAAAAAGGGTGAGAATGGTAGGAAGAATAGCAAACTCTAGTAGGGAGGGAATCAATGATCAGTAAAACGGTTTTCCTAGACAAATGTTAAGGCCTTGGCTCCTTAGTCAACAAACACTGACTTGACAAATACAAAAAAATAAGGCACAGAGAATTCTTGTTGGTTGAAACCTAGAGCTATCAATAATCTTTGTACAATTTTATAGCTAGGTGGCATTTCAGAAATCATCAACACAAGAAACATGCTTCAATGGCATTTAGCCCCAATATAATCCAGACAACTGAATTTAAAGGACTATTACAAATTGTTAGACAAGATTAAGGCAAGTTTTATCAATCTATTGTAGGCTGTTGCCTTATTCACTACATTGTACCTTTTTTATGTCATGTACAAAATCCAGTACTGAATTTTTATAAATTATTAAGGATACAGGGCCACTGTTTAGAACATTTCGTAAGTTAAATTCCTTGGAGAACAGATTCCCAATTTAAATTTTAAAAGAGAAGATAAACAGAACCAATCAAGATATTACAGACAACTATAAACACACTTATATGAACCAAGTGACTCATTATCATCAACTTGCATAAAGTATTCATGTCTAAACGTTAGTGTATAAATTGGTTTCTTTAAAATCTAATCTTTATCCTTTAAATATAGCAGCATATAGCTGAAAAGTTTACAATAACTAATGATATTTCCATGAAATACACAAGGTAATACAGGTTAATTAATTTTAGATATTTTATCATAAACATGTATCATTAAAAAAAAAAAACAACAACAAAAAACTTCTGAGGTCCATTAAGATAAAACTGTAATTCCTTTTACCACAAAAATATTGTTATTTTTCTAGGTTGGGTAAGTTTTCAAGTAAAGAGGCTGGAGAGATGGCTCAGAGGTTAATAAGTTTGACTTCCAGCACCCATTCCAGTTCCAGGGGATCTAATTCCTACTTCTGGCCTCCGTGGGCCCTAGAAATATATACAAGTGAAATATCAATATGCATAAAATAATAAGATAATTGAAAATTTAAAAGAACTTTAAAAAGATAGTTTAGTCCAAAGCATAATAAAGACTCTTTTTTGGTTTCTCTGTAGCCTTGGCTGGCCTGGAATCACTCTGTAGCCCAGGCTGGCCTTGAACTAAATAGAGCTCCACCTGCCCCTGCCTCCTGAGTGCTGGGATCATAGGTGTGCACCATGGTGCTCAGCAACAGAGGCTCTTAATGATACTTCTGGTCTTCCTTGCTTGAGCATGACACAAACAAATCTGCCCCTCCTGTGAGAGAGGGACAAGAATGAACTCCCACTGGACTTAATGTTGATTTACATGCCAAGTAGGTCAGTGTTTTCACTGAAGTTAGGCAAGGCAGGGCTCATCTATATCCACATTCAAAATGGGCTGAGATTCTCTGTTAACAGTATTTGTAAGCTTACAGACTTTTACTAATCCTAAACGGTTCAATTTGATTGACTGTAGTTTTTCTTCCATGGGTTTGTCAAGTGCTTAAATGACAAACTGATGAATACAGGAGCAAACAGTGAAAATACCTTTTGACAATCTAAAATAATCATGTACTATAAAATAATAATGCTTGAAATCTTGTTTACCTGTGTTTCTCACAGAATTACACAGTGAAGATAAATTTATTTTGCCTCTGAATTTTAACATATTTCTAAAATGCTTACCTCACAAATAGGCCAAGTGACTATTTTTTATGTGTAAGACACCAACAATGTTTCTATACTAACACCATGAAAAATGCCGTAACAGAAATTTCAGAATAGAACAATTTCAAAAAAGTATTATAGCATGACTATCCATATCATCTCGATTCTAGCACTAACATTTTACTCCATGTTTTTCATCACATTATCAATACAATTATTTGATGCTTTAGAGGCAGTCACAGGTGTCATCACTATGTGACAATCAGGATGTATCATTATTCAACACCTATCTCAAAAGCACCTGTGGACGGTTTTCACACGTGCTTATCTACAGCACACAAAGCCCTGTGAAAGCGAAAAGCAGCACCATTACCCTATACGAACTCCTCATGCCCCTTGCCCAGGTGACCCTTTCTTCCTTCCCACGGGCAACAATGCATCTGTTATTTTCCCTCAACTATAAATTCTGGAATTCCAAATAAGCAAAATTCCATCTGTTCTAGAATCTTACATAGAGGGAAAATGTATTAAATTCTCCCTCTGATTCTTCGGCATAATATTTTAGAGATTTAACCATAGTCTTTTTGGGGGTGTGGTAGAGGGGTTGGCAGTAGAGATAGGGTTTTACTGTGTAGCTTGCTGGCCTCAAACTCAAAGATTCGCTCGCCTCTGCCTCCAAAGTGCTGGGATTAAAGGCGTGTGTTGGTCATGACCACTGCCAGGTCATATTCCCATTCTTCAGTTTACCAGTAGATCCTTTATAATTCTGGATGGTATTTTATGAATACTGTTTTAGACATTAACTAAATACTTTAAAGCATGGATTCTGACTTTGTTTCATACCTTCATATTGACATCAGCCCCATTGCCAACCAGAAGTTCTAAACACAGTGCTCCATGTGTTGACGCAGCAGCAAAGTGCAAAGGAGTGAATCCTTTCTCGTTCTTCTGATTTACGTTAGCACCACAGTCTACGAGCTCGTTCACGACAACATCTTGTCCATTATAACAGGCTACGTGAAGAGCTGTGTTTCCATAGGCATTTGCTTCATTCATCTATAGGGAAAAACGTGAATGTGAAGTCATTCTTCTACTGCTGCCATAAGCTATTTTAAATTATTAATTATAGAAAACGTGATAAACACAAAGATGAGGTGGATAATGCTAAGGTTGTTTTACAACAACAACAACAACAATAGGCAATTTATGTTAAACGGGCTACATATGTTTAGAGAGTGTGCTTCACAAATACAATGTTAAATTCTTCCATAAGAATCATTTTAAGAAAATAAAAACAATGTATTTTCAAAAGTCTTTGAGCTAAGGGAGAATTTACTGTAAATGGCGAATAGAAACAAGGGTACCTCATTCATCTATTTCAGAGACCTTTTAAGGCCATTATGCTAATTGGTTGAAAAAGAGCTACAGAAACTGTTGAGCAAAATGAAACTTTTAGCCACCTTGAACTTTCCAGGGTCCCACTCAACAATATTTGGGTGTTTTGTAACTTTTCCCAATTCCTACATTTTTCAATGTCTTTCTTGTTTTCAGTCAAGTGTTTCTCACAGCCCTCAATTTATGTAGCTCTATAATCCTGTCATGTCTTGTCTAACTAGAATCACATAATTTTTGACAGTTTTTGCAATTAAGACTTTGTTAGCTGGGTGTGGTGGTACATGCCTGTAATCACAGCACTCTGAGAGACAGGAGCAGGCAGATTGCTGTGAGTTTGTGGCCAGCTTGGTCTATAAAGCGAGTCCAGACAGCCAAGGCTACACAGAGAAACCCTGTTTTTTTAAAAAAAAAAAAACAAAACAAAACAACCCATACTTTATTGTCTTCCTCTCTTTGCACTCTCCTTTTTCCTTATCTACTGCTTTGAAGAACTAGTAAGTTTGATCCACATGTCTCTAGAGTTAGTAACATTAGGGCAGGGATGGTAGCATACACTTATAACCCAAGCACTTGGAAGTTGAAGGAGGATTCCAAATTTGAGGCCAACTTGGGCTACATAATGCAACTGTCCACAAAACCAAAAGAGTAAACATAATAAAAGTGGGAATAAAGAACATGTTTTTCAAGCATGGCATATAAGAACTACATGCATTCTTATTCAGGAACCAAATATATACTAAGAGAGAAGCATCCCTTCCTAGTAAAAAGAATGGCATTACTGTAGTGTTTATAGTACTTACGTCTTTCCCCTCTTGCTTTTGCCACTATCCCATAATACTACAGTCATTTAAAATAAAGTCAGACTTACTGGCTCAGAAAACTAAACATAATACAGACAATAACACAGCTGCTTGATCTGCTGGTTCCCAGAGAACTGGAAGAAACAGAGCTACAGGAAATGAAATGTGATGGAAAAGAAAAACTTTGGGCAAATCACTCATCTTTGGAATGGTTTTAACTCTACATATTTTGACTAATTATGAAATACACTGGCTATTTTTAATGTCAAGTTGACACAATCTAGAGTCATTTGAGAGGAAGGAACCTCAATTGAGAAACTGCCTCCATAAGACTGGGCTATAAACAAACCTATAGTGTATTTCCCTAACTAATGATTGAGGAGGACAGTCCAGCCCTTTGTGGGTGGTGCCATCCCTGGGCTAGTGGTTCTGGGTGCTATAGAAAACAAGCTGAGCAAGCTACAAGGAGTAAGCAGCACTTCTCTATGGCCTCTGCACCAGCTTCTGCCTTCAGGTGCCTGTTCTGACTTCCTTCAGTGATGAACAGTGATATGGAAGCATAAGCCAAACAAACCCTTCTTTCTCCAAGTAGCTTTTGATCATGGTGTTTCATCAAAGCATAGTAATCTTAACTAAGACAAATATATTGATCACATCAGTATACTAGCCAGTGAAAGAGTCAGAAAGATCTGAAAAAAGGATACTACTGTTAAAGAGATATTTGGTACAAGATGTACTGCTATCTTTCAAACCTAAGTTCTGAGAATATAATAGCAAAACCACAGAACAATTAATTTTATACGGCTCAATCTATATACCTACATCAACTCCAAGATCTAGAAGGTACTTGACTACACTGATCATTCCACTAGAGGCTGCTGCATGAAGAGGTGTGTAAGACTTCTTATCCTTACACGTCACTTCCGCTCCATGAGATACAAGTAATTTCACTACTTCGATGTGACCTGAAAATACATTTTCAAAAACAAAACAAAACAAAGAGACAAGCAAAAAAACATCAGCACATAGAAACTATTAAATATATTAATTTTAGAATGCACGATGACTAATAATTCATGCTGTAATACAAAAAGATTAAAAAAAAATCCAAGAATTCAGAATATTTTTGACAAATGTTGGTAGAGAGAATAACTAAAAAACAACACAATTTACTATGTTATCTAGTGTTAACTTTGACTAGATTTTGTTCCTCTAACTCATGGTCATTTAATATCTTTCGCTTTCTCTTTGACCTTATGATATCTTCTGTCAGGTCATGACATGACACAGCAGGAAGGAAGGCGCTGGCCAGATGACAGCACCGTCATGTGGACTTCCAAAACTCCAAAATTTGAAAGAAATTAAACTCTGTTCAGGATAAATTACCCAACCTTGAATATTTTGTTATAGCAACACAGATCAAGAATGTACTATTATTGGCAAAATAAAACCTACCTTTTTAATCGTGATCAAGTGTATCAATGACAACCAAGCCATGCTAGGCCCAGACTAGGGTCCACACACTTTATTACTTGGGATGCTCAACTTCAAGCAAGCCATAAAATTATTCTGGCCTTCATTTCATGAAAATAGTCCATTAGGCCAAACCAAATTCCTTTGTAGTGAAAGTGACTCCACTGACTGTGGATATCTTCTTAACACAAAATGTGTTATTTTAAATCACATACACTGTTTCTACACTGTCTAAATGAAGAACCTATCACAGACTATTCAGAAACTCTCCAAGACTTAAGGATATAAAATTTCACATGGAGTGATAGAAACACTCCATGAGGATGAAACAGAACTCCTTCTGGCTATTTTACCTTTAATTAACACAAGAAAAAAATTCCTTGTATAAGAAGAGGCACATAGTTTTGGCACTAAACACCACATATTCAACTTTTGGTCATCAAAATAGGGCATGTGACCAAAATGGTACCCTTACAGGTAAAAGTGAACACGGTCAATGCCAGTGCTGGGGAGTTAAGAAACACATAGATCTCTGGGGCTTTCTGGCTAGCCAGTGTATTAAGCTCTAGGTCCCAGTCAGAGGCCCTGACTCAGAAAATAAAGTAGATAATTCCTGAGGAATGATACTGGAAGCTGACTTGGCATACATGTATATACACATGCATATGTGAACACATGAACACACACCCACAATCTTAGCTTGTAATAATAGGGTTTATTTTTTCTTCAGTGATGGAGCTTGAAACCAAGGGCTTGTGCATACAAGGCAAACGCAGTATCACTTTAGCTATACTTCCAGTTTAATAAGATGCTTCTCAATGCATCTTTACAACTTATATGCCAATAATGCAATAAAAAGAAAAATGGATATGAGAATTAACACCCATTTTAAGTTAAACATCCTAGGCCACTGTATGAGATGTCACTCCTTTGATAAGAACAGAATTATTTCAGTTTTTATACGCTAGGTCCAGTGTATTGTTGCAGCAACCCTCTTCTACTTGTTCTTCTTGAGCAGCAATCTCAGATAGTGTATGACTTATCCTTTTCTTAAAAATGCATAAATGCAAAAAACGTTTTCCCTAAATATATACTGTCAAAAGTAAATTTAAATGCACATACCCATATATGCTGCCCAATGGATTGCACGTCTATCTTTCTTATCAAAAGCATTAATATTGGCACCTCTGGACAAGAGTAGTTTGACCATCTGAAATAAAAGTAAATAGTTTCATTGAGATTTAGAGTAGAATTGTTCATGAATATGTCTTGTGATTATTCAACTTGTCTGGTACTGACTTGCTGCAGTTCAAGCTGCATACAGTTCAAACTATATTCATCAATATAGTTATGATGATGTGGGAGGGGGTTCACTGTGTTACTGAAGTCCAGCTGCAGCCTCTTTAAGATGCAGCTTTGCAACTTAGTATTTTGAGAACATCTAAGTAAACACAAATTTCGACAGTTTAAAGTTTGAATACTTAAATAGAAATTGTACTGCTACTTAAGCCTAAAGTGTTGTTAGAAAGTAACTGTCTCATACTAGCCATGTCTGAAATTTAATTTAATCCCTCATGGTAGAGCCACTATATTTAAATCAAATTATTACAAAGTCCACTTATCTCATAATGAACTAATAATAATAATAATAATAATAATAATAATACATATTTATAATTGTTTCTCCATTTTGTGATCTATGCTACAGTTGATGCAAGGATTCATGGCACTGCAATGAAAAAAAAAAAATGAGGCCACTATGTTTACAGCTGCAAAATCTTGTGAATGCCATTCTAAAACTGTGCTTTTGTGTCTGCAAAATGAAGGACTAGAGTCTGGGCACACTGGAGTGCAATGTTGTTTCAGCTGCTTTAGAAGAGGCTGAGATAGGAGAAGAGCTTGGAGTTCAGGAGTCTGGAACATAGCAATATTTCACCTTAAATTTAAAAATGGTGTAGGGAAGGCTGGGAGAGAGAACAGAAATCACTGGGGGAGGGGGGGAATCTCTGAGATGAAGATGGTGGGAGGCCTCCAGGAGTCTATGGCGGTGACCCCGGCTGGGGTAGGGAGCCTGGAGAGGCCATCTTCTGTAGCCAGGCGGAACTTGCAATGGAGGGATGGGTACAGCAACCCATCCACTAAACCTTCAACCAAAATCTGCCCTGCCTACAAGTGGTGCAGGAATAAACATGGAGGAAATGGCCAATCAGTGACTGGCCCAACTTGAGACCCACTCCATGGGAGAGAGCACACCTGGCACTACTAATGAAACTCTGCTATGCTTGTACACAGGAGCCTAGCATAACTATCATCTGAGAGGTTTCATGTAGCAGCTGATGGAAACACATGCAGAGACCCACAGGCAAATAATAGGCAGAGCTAGGGAGTCTTACAGAAGAGTGGGGGTAAGGGTAGAGGGAGCTGGAGGGATCAAGGCCACCACAAGAAGAACTACAGAATAAACTAAGCTGGGCCATGGGGGTTCACAGAGACTGAACTACCAATCAAAGAGCATGCTTGGGCTGGACCTAGGGCCCCTACACATATGTAGCAAATGAGCAGCTTGTTCTTCATGCGGGTCCCCTTATAATTAGAGCAAGGGCTGTCTCTGACTCTGTTGCCTGCTTCTGAATCACTTTCTCCTAGCTGGGCTGTCTTGTCTGGTCTCAGTGGGAGAAGATGCAAGTAGTTCTGCTTCAATTTGATGTACCAGGGTGGGGTGGTACCCATGGTGGGGGGCTCCCCTTCTCTGAGGATAAGGTGGTAGGGGAATAGGGGAGGTGTATGAGGGTGGGATTGGGAGGAGAAGAGGAAGGGGGCTGCAATTAGGCTGCAAAGTGGAAAAAAAATTAAAAAGGGAAGTGAAGGGTAGGGACAACAGTACAAAAAAGAAAGAAACAAAGAAAGCAGGAGAAAAGGAGAAGACAGGCGGGCCAACTGAGCTAGCTGACGCTTGATTGAAGGTAACTAGCCACTGTGTGTGATCGGCACCTGTGTGTGGCAAGGCTCGGTAGTGGGCCTCCTCCATGTAGTGGGGGCCTCCTCCATGTAGTGGGGGCCTCCTCCATGTAGTGGGCCTCCTCCATGTTCCGCCCTAGTTTCTGAGACAGGTATTCTCACCTGGAGCTCACCAATTTGGTTAGGCAGGCTAACCAACAAGTCACAGAGATCTGGCTGTCTCTGCCTTCCTATGCTGGGCTTACAGGTGCACACCAGCTCTCTGTGTGAGTGCTGGGGATTTGAACTCAAGTTATTACGCTTGGACAGAAAGTACATTATGGAATGAGTCATCTCCCCGGCCCTGTGATGACAAATTTTCTTAATCTGTTCTCTTTTGACAGTCCTGTCACTAAGGAATTATCTTAAGCTAGAAGAAAGCATAGTTTCTAAACATTGCCTTTCTCTGCTGTTATCCTTCCTTCTGAAAGAACAATGAAATTGCAGTTTCTTGACAATGATAGAACATATCTCTTGTGTGATCCTATAGCTGACAGTCTTGTTATTCTAGGTCATTATGAAATTCTAGTGTATGTGTAGTAAGTATGAAATAAATTTTTTAATTTGGGAAAACTTGTATCACTGAAAAAGAAAAAAGATGAGAGGTTTGCTAAGGGCAATATCAGAAGAAATGAAGATAGATATTTTTGTTTGCCTTTCTACAAACTGAATGAATTAAAAGAAGGCAAATTCATTAATAACTAGAGGCTGGGAGGAAGAAAATCAATTTCTAATTGAATGCACCTACCTCACCATGCCCACTGAAAGCTGCATGATGTAATGCAGTTCTTCCTGCTCGATCCGATACGTTCACATTACTCAGAAGAGGTACCAAAGATTCAGCACACTTTACAGCTTTATTTGCAGCAGCTATGTGTAAAGGGGTCTGCCAATTTTTGTCTCGAGCATTAACATCGGCAGAATGCTTCAAAAGTATCTGAACTGCTTCCTACAATACAAACAAGAGGGGTGAATAACTTTAGAAACTTATAAAGATGTCTACATATGGAGAAAATAGAAGTCTGAAAAAGCCTGTTGTAAGTAATGGGAATTTAAGAAAATATTTTGAATTGAAAGATTGTATTTAGAGCCATAAAAAGATAAATCTTGATAAACCGGCACTCTCTATGAAAACATACAAGGGGGGGGGGGAACCTAAAGAAATGTATGTTTTTCATTAAATGTTCATTTCTTAAATTTCTTATTATCAAAATACAATTAGCATATTCATTGAAGAGCTTTAATAAGATTTATTATTTTGATATTAAATAACCAAAAATTTAAAAAGACATATCTCTCATCTCTCAAAGAAGTATGTATTACAGTTTAATAAGTGAGAAAAAAAACACTATGTCTGGTTCATTAAATTAGTATGTAAAAGATTTTTTATTGTAGTGCTATTTAACATGAATGTCAGTATTGAGGCAATTTAAAAATTACTGTTCCAAGAAATTCACCTCCTAGAAGCACATGGAAACGTCACATTACCATTTCTTTAAAGCAGATATTTTTCAGGATTCCTAGGAATCTAGGAATTTAGCATTCAGCAATATAATCATAATTAAACAGCAAAATCTTCTTATAGTGATAATCGTTTGGTAAGAACAAAACCACATATACAATTAAAAACAGCAGAACTAGAACAGAATCTCAATATTATGACTTTTTAAAATAATTAAAACTTTATTGTAGAGAACTTGCAAATGAAAACATCATACAAATAAATCAGACAGACTCAAAGTCTATAAATTACAATGAACTTCTAGTTAGAAATGGGTCACTTTGAAGCTGTGAAACTTTACACTGGACCTTACCTTTAGTATCAGTTATATGTTCACGCATTAATCTACCACCCCCTCCAAATCCATGAGTTAAAACTAGAAAAACAACCAGCTTTATATCCAGTCATAACCCTTGTCCTGTATCTGCACTCTATCCTTTCTCATCACCTAATATTTACCCTTTCTTGTTCTTCTTTATACATGTACACATATAAATTACAGGCCAGAGTCCACAAGAAAAAATACGCAGTTTTTCTTTCTGAAATTGTGAGTGACTGCGAATAATATTATATATTCTAAGTTGATCAATTTTCCTGCCAACTGTGATTTCACTTTTATTTAGAGCTGAATAATATCCCATTTGTACCAGATTATAATTATCCATGATTATCAATGAGATTAGTTTCATTTCCTTGTTACAGTAAATAAAGCAACAATAAACATGAGAACGCAAATATCGCTGTGGATGGCAAGAAATTATAAAGATCAGGGACTAAATTGATGAAGTAAATATTAAAATAACAAAACCACAAAATCTACTAAAAAATTGATTCTTTGAAAAACTTAGCAAGATTGACAAACCCTTAGCCAATCTAACACAAAGAAAAAGGGAAAAGATACAAATTAACAAAATTCAAGATGAAAAGGGTGTCATTAAAACAAACTCCGGCAAAATACTAGGATTATGAAAAATTATTCTCTAAAATTAAAGCTGCATAACCCAGAAGAAATAGAACTTCTAAATGTATATCACCTAATAATATTAAACTTAGAAGAGATCAATAATGTAAACATCCATTTTAAGTAATGAGACTGAAGCCATAGCCAAGGCCTCCCATCAAAGAACAGCCCAGGACTAGATGGATTAACTGCTGAAAACTATCAAACTTTCAAGGAAGATCTTATATCAATTCCTCTAGACTTGTTCCACAAAACAGAAAATACAGAATTCTGATCTTCATTCTATGAGGTTAGTATTATTTTGATACCAAAACCAGGTAAAAACAAGAATGAAAATATAAACTTGACCAGTTTCTTTAATGAACACACATGCAAAAATTCTCAGCAAAAATACTTGCAAATGGAACTCAGGATTAAGATTCCATATTATGAGCTGTTGGACCCTGCTGCTAAGGTTCAAGTCTGGGATTACCGCATAGCCCCTGTCTCTCCAAACCAAACCACCGCTTCTTAGTTTTGGAGCTCTGAGCCTCCACTAACAGCTGATCTTGAAGCAGCCATCAATTTGCTCAAGTCAGGCCAGACCCTCATGGCCACCTAGCTCTGGTTTCAGAGCCATGAGCTCTTTGCTGCCAAATGGCCTGGAGCTGGCAGCTCAGCTAAAGGAGCAGTAACACTTATTTCAGAGAAGTCTTTTCTCCTGTACTTCTGGCTGAACTGGAAATCTTCTGGCAGCGATCTCAGTTCCACATTCCACCCTTCTTGGCCCAGAGATCAGTGTTCCTGAGAGAGGCAGAACCTTTACCCCAAGCTTTAGAAACCGAAGTAGCCCTGACCTTCCAGTTTGGGCCTGACAAGGCCCAGGCTTCTGTTAGACACAGAATTACAATGACCAAGTGTGCTTAATCCCAGAAAGACAACATTGGTTCATTCACATACATAAATTAATAAATATAATACACTATATAAATGAACTTAATGATAGAAATCACATAGTCATTATGATTGATGCTAAAAAGACATCTGACAAAATACATCAGACCTTCATGATAAAGTTTGGGAGATTTTAGGAATAGATGGAATATACTTCAAAATAATAGAGTATACACAACAAATCTATCCCAAATCTATAACATACATTATGTTAAATAGAGACAAACTGAGAACATTTCCTCTAAAATCAGGAAGACATAAGAATGCCCATTCTTCCTGATTTTATTTGATGAGTACTGTTACTCATAGTTTTAGCTATAGCAAAAGACACAAAGGAGAGAAATAAAAATAAAAAAGGAAAAAGCCAAACTATTTTTAATTACAGAATACATGATCCTTGACTTAAAAGGCCCTATACAGTTTACTAGAGAACTCTTGTTTTGCATGATATTTTATCCCATTGTGAATCCCAAAACTGTGAACTGTAAAACCCTGTTTCTTGTTTGGTGTACTTGAGCCCTATCACACACCTTTAATCCAAGAATTTTTTATTATAAACAGGTGGTTATGGTGTGGTTCACCCTAGCCCTAGCACACTCTTTTAATCCAAGAGCTTTCTGTACACAGGATTTAATAGTTAACCCTAGGTCAAAGGGCAGAGCAAGAAACCAGCTGACAGGGATTAAAGAGGGACTTTGAGTTGAGGGGTATTTAAGACAGCATGGAGAGGAAGAAAGCTTTTAGCTCAAGCTTTCAGCTTTGGCTTCAGCTCCTCAGCTCATGGGTTTCTGAGCCTTGAGCTAGCAAGCCTTTGGGTTTTGTTTTGTTTTGTTTTGTTTTTTTTCCTTTTCCTTTTCCTCCTGGGCTGTCAGTTGAGCTAGTGAGCCTTTTGGGTTCTTCCCATCTGGACCTGAGCTGAGAAGGAAGCTCGCTGGGTGGCTTCTCTGCCTCTTTGAGCTAGGAGGTTTTCACCCCAGCATCTGGCTTCTGAGCCTTTATTGGTAAAATAGAACAGTTGGGATTTTCATTTTTGTTTATAACATCAAGTGGCCTCCAGATGTCGGGCTCAGAATAATGGCTAATGCTGTAGAAAAGACAGCAGAGCACTGAGACAAATACACTGTTTTAGGAGGTGAGTAGAAGGAACTGCTGCTGCTACTGATGGTTTCTCTCTCACTTTACTCCCAGAGGGCATTTTCTGGTTTTATTTCAGCGTCTTATTGCATTCCACTTTAAAGAAGGTTGGGAGAACTGTTCAACAATTAGAAAAATTGCGAGTAAATATGGAAAGATATGAGAAACAAAATGGATGAAATAGGAAAACCAGAAGTGTCACTCAATTCTCTCATTTTTGAAAGGATTGCAGAATTGACTGTGCTACTACAGAGTCTGTGGGTAGAGTTCGTGCTTGGGAAGTGAACAGCACTGCTGGAAAAGGGAGTACAAAAGGGTTCAAACCTGGGAACTGAGAGCAGGACTTTCCCAAAATTGCAGCCCTGCCCTGCACCAAGCATTTTCTGTGTCAAGTTCCCATAGCTTCTGGGTAGGCTGAGGAGCCAGGAGGAGCAGAAGGCTGTACAGGGCGAAAGGTTTAAAGAGAAACAGCCTGTTTCAAGAAAAAAGGTTAATCTTTAGCAAACTGAGCTGCCACAGCAGCAGCCTCAGGTTAAGAGATTACACCATTAATTTTCCCAGTAGCCACCAAAGCCCTAGATACCAAAATGCTCGGTACTTCAATTGTGGTAGATTGGTCATTTGAAAAGAAATGTGACCAAGCCACTAAAAGCCTCAGAGCTCAAAATGGCCAGTAAATTAATCTGAGAAATACGGTACATTCCGCCAGAGAAGAAAGAGCCTTTTCTGGTAGCACTGGGTTCTCTGCCGGAACCGGCCTTAGGCGCTATGATAAAAGGGGCCATTTGACTAGTGAATGCATGTTCAAGAGAGACACACAAGGTAACTTCTTGCCGTTAGAAAACAGCTTGGAGTCCTAGCTCGAGGCCCAACAGCAAAAAATAGGAACCATTCCAGACAAGAGTAGCCAAGAGTTATCAGGTTACAAAAGAAACTATTGACAACCCCCCCCCCCAAAAAAAAAAAGGTTTGGTTCCTTGATCATCCCCTTTTAAAAAAGCAACAGCAAGTCTCATTCATATTAAAAGTAAAGCCATTTTTTTTTTTAACAGCAAGGAGGAAATGTCTGGATGTAAATGTTTTTATTTTGATCCCAGGTGTAGGATATAAGACTGATTCAGATGGTCCACAATAGCAAATTATTTGCCTGGTGTGGCTCTGAGCGGGCCTTTGGCCAGCTTCAGATAGTTTAAATCTGAGGACTCTGAAAGGGAATAAAGGCTAGAGCCTGGAGAGGGTTGAGGGCCTCTAAGAAAGAAGAAGGCCGTTGGTGCTCTCCCTCTTGCTGTTGATAGAGTTGGATGAGATACCCTGAAAGCAAGACTAGACTTGCCCTGAGGAACCAACTACCCTAACCAGCAGGAAGTAGCCTAAGATAACTATGGCCCTCTCCTCACTAACCTCTCTCTTCTACCTGGTATTGGGGTGTTGGAAGAGCTTGGGGTGGAGAAGGGAGAAAGAGATGCAAGAACATAAATAGAATAGTTTTTAAAAGTGTGCAACAACTCTGGAATCTAATAAATACAGTGAAGTTGCAGAATACAAAAACCAACATATAAAAATACAATGCAATTTCAGAGAAATAAATTATAAAGATAAATTAAAAATTATTACTATCCCATTCAAAATCACTGTTAGAAATTAAATATTTGGGAATATACCTAATCAAAGAATATGAAGAGCTCTAAACAATAAAAACTTCAAGACACTGAAAAAGAAATTTACAGAAGGCAATAGATGATGAAAAGACCTTCCATACTCCTGGGCTGGCAGAATTAATATTCTGGGTATGGCTGTATTACCAAAAAAAAAAAAAAAATCTGTCATATTTTCACAGATTACCTAAAGATGAATAAATGTATTGTCATACTGACATATTTTTAAAAAATAAAGAACCATATAGAACCATAAAAGAGCAAAATAGCCAAAGTAATCCCAAGGAGAAAGAACGCTGCTGGAGTGTGGTAACGCCTGACCCACACCACACTACACAGTGCTACAGTGATGGAGACAGCCTGGTACGCACAAACGCTGGAGGGTCAGCAGAAAGGAGGCTCCAAAAAATAAAATGACAAACCTATGCCCACTTAATTTTGACAATGGAGACAAAAAAGCACGTATTTGAAAAAAAGATAACAAATGGTGCTCCCAAAATTGGATATCTAGCTGCAGAAAAATAAAATCAGATTATATTCACCTTTTAAGAAAAATAAATTCAAAATGGATCAAATTCCTTAATTTAAAACTGGAAACATTGAGACAAAACAGATAACACTCTTCAAGATACTAGGTTCAAAAAGAACTTTCTGAATAGAACATAAACACAGGAACTAGCCTCAAGTATCAACAAACAAGATTATATGAAAAATTAACTATCAGCAACAGAACTATCAGCAGAGGAAACAACTCACAGATATATAAAGGCTGGAGAGATGGCTCAGTGGTTAAGAGTACTTGACTGCTTTTTCCAAAGGTCCTGAGTTCAATTCCCAGCAATCACACAGTGGCTCACAACCATCTATACTGGGATCTGATTGCTTCTTTTGATGTGCATGAAGACACCAGTACTCATATAGATAAAATACATGAATAAACCAATCTTTAAAAAAATAAAATGAGAAACACAAATGGCCAGTAACTGATTTTAGAAGTGTTCAATATCTTTAACCATGAGGGAAATACAACTAAAACTACGCTTGGCTATGAAGAAATCTAACAGCAGGGGCTGAAGAGATCAGTTTGAGACCCAGGTTTGGTTCCGAGCACCCACAATGACAGGATACAATCATTTGTAACTTCAGTTTCAGGGGACTAAAAGGCCTCTCATCTTGCCTCTACAGGCAAAACACTCAGTCACATAAAATCAATGTAAATAAACTGAAAGAAAAGAAACCTGACTCTAACGTTAGAAACATTACTAAAACCATTCTGTGTAAAACCATTCTGTGTGACTTTGAAAAATGTGATGTTTGCAAGTGGTGTTAAGAGACGAGCCACTGTGTGACTCTGGCTCCCTTTGAATTTCCTGTACACTTGCGGAGTTCATTCAGGCTCGCCTGTCAGAGCTGGCAGCTGGCTGATGCTCCAACAGTGCCACCCTCCACAAAGGACACAGCTGAAGCACCTTCCAGCACATGCCATCAAGCTCCCAGCTCACTGGCCCTGCTTGTCAGTCAACAAATGTTGGGGAGGATTGGAGAAAGAGGAACACATTTCACTGCTGGTAGAGGTGCAAAATGAACACTATCATTATGGAAATTTGCCTGGAGATTCCTTAAAAACATTAAAAATAGAACTACCATATGACTCAGCTTTTCTTCCTGGGCATGCATAGAGAACTCCACTTACAAAACATACTATTCAAGTCTTGCAAAACTGCTCCTTAGTGTTCCTATCTAGGAGAAAGAGGACACTTACTAACCGCCAATCTTTTCAAGATTGCTAGAGCCAATGCACATGGAGAACATTAAAGTGTGAATAGCTATAAAGTTACAAGGTTACAACAATAAATAATGAAAGGCTATTGTTTATGGCATGTGCACAACTTTTTAAGACTTTGAAATAAAGAGCAATTAGAACTGTCTGAAATATAGGAAACAGCACTAGTATCTAATAGGATTGACAAAAAGACTGAATTGATGCTCAGGAATCTACTAACTTGCTGAGGAAGTCAGGCAGTAAATCTATGACACACAGCGACCTATGACCCCACAATTCCATTCCAGTTAAGAAAAATGAACAGACCTATTCAAGAATGCTGTCTTAGTTAGTGTTGCAATGACCAAAGCAATTTAGTGAGGAAAGAGTTTATTTCATCATATAGCTTATTATGAAAGGAAATCAGGGCATGAAATCAAGGCTGGAACCTGGAGGCAATAACTGAAGAAGAGCCATGGAGGAGTGTTACTTACTGGCTTGTTCTTCCCAACTTGCTCAATGTGCTTTCTTATATAATCCAGGACCACCTACGAAGGTGTGTATGACCCACAGTGGGCTGGGCAGACTGGCCTATAGGCCAAAATCTCAATATTGCCATTTCTCAATAGAGATTCTCTCTTCTGGGGCTGGAGGGACGGCTAAGGAGTCGAGAGTGCTAGCTGCTCTTGCAAAGGCCCTGGAATCAATTCACAGGACCCACAGCAGCTTACAATCATCTATAACTCCAGTCCCAGAAGATCTGGTACTCCCTTCTGGTATTCATGGGCACATGACCTGTGGCACACAGACACGCAAAACACCTATATGCATTGAAAAAAAAAAAAAAAAAGAAAAAGAAAAAAGAGCAGACCAAGCTGGGTATGGTGGTTACACCTATAATCCTGACTTGGGAGGATGAGGCAAGAGAATCAGAGGTTTGATGTCAGCCTACGTTACAGAGTAAGAGCCTGTCTCAAAATAAGTAAATAAATTTCTTCTTAGATGACTAGCTTATGCCCAGGTGAACACACAAACAATCTAACCATATCCAACCAGGACAATTGCCAGTTACCCTAATGTTACTGTTTATAGATATAAACAGTAAAGAATCTTTTTTCTATGTGAAAAACCTCATATTCCTTAAGGGAATACTTTCCAAACTGCTGAAATGGGCATCAAGGGCTGGAGAACTGGCAGTGTTTGAAAAAGTACAAGTATGCTTTATCAAACCAGATTTGGATCCTTAGAAGCCTTATTTTGTTTAAAAAAAAAAAAAAAAAAAAAAAAAGGCCGGGTAGGTGTGGCAGCTGCCTGTAATCCCAGCACTTTGGGGGGCATTAACAGGAATACCCAGGTGAAGCTAGCTGGCCCAGCCTGAGTCGATGAAATCTGAGTTTGGCAAGAGACCCTGTTTCAATGAATAAAGTGGATGATCATTAGGAAAAACGTCTGATGTCAACACACGTGCTTAGAGATGCAAGGACACTCCTGTGTACATGTGTCCAGACACAAGCAAACATGCCCTGGGGACACCCCCCATTCACTAGAGAAACACAAGCAAACATGCCCTGGGGACACCCCCCATTCATTAGAAAAAAGCACTTAAAAGTAATATTCCTAAAATTAACTCCAATGTTCAAATAAATCAGTCATGATACGCTGATGACATGATGCTCAGCATGAACCTTGGGAAAGGGTTTTGTGGGATAGGGTGTCATGAACCAGTAAAGAAAAGACACAGAGCCGATTATGTGCTAGAAACACACTTTCTTGTGAAGGAGGGACAGATATAAGGGTTTCTTTTTGTTTACTTCAGACTCTCTAAAACCCTGACACACAAAAGGAGAAATGCAACAATCAGCTTAGTTTGTACAAATTCTAAAGTCAAATGACTAGTGTAGATACTTTAGTAGTTTCTTTCCTTTGGTTAAGAATGCAGTTTTAAGTTGGACCCAAGCAGGCCTACTTAGTGCTTCTTCATATACATTTACTAAGAGAAATGTCATACCTCACTACAAGATGCAACTGCTCTGTGTAAAGGTGTCAACCATTTGCTGTCTTTGGCATTAACTCTAGCTCCTGCAACAAGAAGAAAAAAATAATTGAAATGTTTTATAGGAATTATTTTTTTTAAATAAACCTAAAGTTAGATGGAGTCCCAATGGGATAACGATTGGAAAATTAATTGTATATTTTCTGCCAATAAGTTACCCTTAAGTTATAAAACAAAATTCTTTTAAGTTGATGTAATTATCCAAAAGGGAATCAGTTCTTTTTGTTAAAAAGAAAATAAACAGCATTTTATATTTAGGCTAGAAAAGCCACCTTTATACAGAGCATATTCAATATAAAATCAAATCCCCCCTTAAAATATGTGTTAACCTCAAATACTTAAAAAAACAAACACAGTATTACTCCAAGATGAACTGGATATTAACTTAAAATCTTCATTACATTTCTTTACTAATGAATGTATAATGTCATAAAGTAATATAATGATAGTTGTACACTGATACTATAGGGTCATTGTACAAAATGATGTAGGAAAACAAAGAAACGAACAATATACATGTCTTTCCTGGTTATACCTAAACTTTAAAAAAGGACCTTTTAAAAACCAACTATGTGTAATTTAAAAAAATTAAGTGAACAGACAAAAGTACCAACAGAATACAAACACATTAAGATAAAAATATTACATTGTAAGTTTTAAAACATGAACCAAATAGAAGAAGCTCCTACTTGTAGCATGCTGTGAGCAGAAAGGAAATAGCTCTGGATATTCGACTGGCCATCAGGTCCTGTCCTATATATCACTGTAGATTTATGCCCCAAACCCTGATTCCTAATTTCCTAGATGATAACAACAACAACAAAAGTATGTTGAATAATCCTTAATAATTTTTTGCAGTTTTATACTTAATGTGCACAAACCAGAGTCAAGTATTGCTAGAATTCATACTTCTAACAGTTACACTGATTCTGTGTTTTTAAGTGTGAGGGTCCAGGGGATGGATGATCAAGTGTAGTTACGTTATAGCTCCAGTATTTACAGACTCAGAAGAAACCTTCTAAATAATGTTGTGACCCCTCTGAGCCTAAGTTTTTTCATCTTTACACACTTTATAATACATTGGTATAAAAATTATTGTAAATAAACCCAAAGTACACACTGCACATGTTGATGGTAGATTTAGAAGTGCTGAACACAAGAGACTATAAAACATGAAGAAAATAAATGTAGCAATTAAAATTTTTAGAGTAGTTGAATTCGCTGTAGCTATCAACAGTAACAGAGATGTCAGAACCAAGAGCCAATGGAAGAGCTTTCAAGAATGCTGAGTCAGAAGGAAGGAATGAAGTCAACAAAATAAGGAACTAGTCAAAGAGTAGTAGATATATTTTACAAATATTCTCTAGGGCTAGGGAGCTAACTCAGGACCTTGTACATGCCATGCAAGCACTCACCTCAGACAAAAGTAAACTCATGTAGTAAGTTATTTAGGCAACTACTTGCCCGGTCCCTGGAGGCCAGGAAGGATAAGGTAGACAACCTGGGCAGAGTGAAGTCAGACTATTTATAGAGTCTAGGTTAAAACATTTGAAATGTTCACTTTTTTGAGAAAGCTCAAGTTTTAGTTAGTGAAGGACAATGGTGCCTTTCAGTCTCTCAATTACCTCCATAGTTCTCTCTAATCCCTATGTCTCTTTCTATAAAAATAGTTATGTCCACATATATATCTACACATGGAAATGCAGGCTTAAAGGTACAGACACAGACAACTAGAAGAGATAGTACCTGGCTCAACAAAGGCAGAGAGAGAATGAGAGAGAGAGAGAGATCTCATAAATGCCTTCAAGAAGTTAGCTTTACAGTAATGACAAGAGAACAGAATGTGGCTGTCACAAAAAAAATGAGGCTCTTCATGTGCTATATAGCTTTCAAAAATAAAGTAAAAAAAGCAATAACTATACACAATGTTTTACCTTTAATTAGAAATAGAAAAAGGTAAGTATATATTCCTATTTCATTAATAGGAACACTGAAACCATAGAGGAATGACAAAATATTAAAAAAGTAGGTACCCGAGTGTTTGGTTGGTTAGGCATACAAAAGGCTGGCGGTTGTTATTCTCTATTATTATAGTTTCCATTATTTTCTATATATGTACAGAAAAAACATTTTATACTTACTCAAAAAATAAAACATACTCAAGCAAAAAAATTAAAGGATGATCATGAAAAATTCCAAGAATTTTGTTTCAAGTACAAACAATAAAAAACAATCCAGGAATGGGGATATATATATATGGTATTTTTATTTTATTTAAGGTATTTTAAAAATATTTCTTTTGGATATGGGTTATCAGATATATAACTACTTAAAAACATTCTAATTTAATGGCACATTAAGGATATCAAAATAAAAAAAAAATCTTCCTGTTCATTCTGTCTTGTTATAAGTCTTCTTCATGTAATTAACAACACAAATTAATTTTTTTTTTTTCCAGAGCTGAGGACCAAACCCCGGGCCTTACCACTGAGCTAAATCCCCAACCCCAACACAAATTAATTTATTGAAATAAGTGACTACAAAAAAGAATCCATTAAAAGTTAACTGAGGATATTACACTGCTACAATACAAAAAAATACAGGGCTTGTTCAATGATAAGATTTTAAACTTCTGATCATTATCTTTTTTTTTCTTTAGAAGACAGTTTTTATTACATCCTGTGCTTCTTTTAAAAGCACTAATCAAATGCTTATGTAAAGGCCAACTTTTGAAAAACTTCAGGCACTAATGAAAAAGGTCTCTCTGTGATTTGCGTAATAATGGACATGGCATAGTGATGTACATCTTCAAGAACAGTAGTTGGCTGTGCTTCTATCAAAGAAATTAAATAACAACAACAACAATAATGACATAAGAGTCACAAGCACAGTGACACATTTTTAATGTTTGAGATTCCTAGAGCCTCTTTTGGTAAACTCTCCAAAGGCAACAGATTTCTGTTCTACAAAGAACTCTTAAGATTATCTATACACTAATATTTGCATCAGACAGCAAAGCCATTCTATGCAAAAGACCCGACCAGAGTAAAGTTAAATCGACCAACAGCTCGTCAAGAGTATAAAAGACTACCCAGAAAGGTTAACAAGGAAGTCAGGGATAAAGAAAGGAAAATAAAAATGGGGAGGAGAGGGAGAAGAGCATTATATTCCCCTAAAACACAAACTATCTTTGTAGAGAGAAACAAAGCAAAACAAAATCTAACAGCCTCTAGCAGTATCATCACATGTTCTACACATGACAAAAGATAAAAATCTATGATCATAAAGATGCTAAGTCACTGAGAAAAGGTTAATCTCTTCACTACCTCTTGGTCATGCAAACAAAAACTATATGCTCCACTGTTCCTACTAGGTTACTGGTAGATGTTTTGGCATGAGAAATCACTGCAAACTATCTGAAGGCAAAGAGGAGAGCAATTTAAGGAAGATGGCATTGATGACTATTTTAACCACTGAGCCATTTCTCCTGCTCCCAGTTCTCAAAGAATTAATAAAAATATTTCTTAAAGAACAAGAAATGTGGACAGAGATACAGACAGGCTAAAAGCAGAGGGAGAAGGCCTCTATTCACAAGTCAAGGAAAGAATCACAGAACAGACAGATCCTTTTCTTTTGAGAAGATTCTTTTCTTTGCCTTGATTGTAGGCTCTGACCAGATATGTGAAAAAATAAACTTCTGTTGTTTAGGCTAACTGCTTGATGGTACTTTTTTTTTTTTTTTTTAAAGGACAGCCCTGGCTAATACACTTAGGTTGCAAGCTTTCGAGACGTGCACACTTTAGGTCTAATTCCTAAAAACAGAAATACCAGATTCCTACTCTGTATTTCCTTATGCTGAAAGGGTAACATTCAGCAGCCTGCTAAAAAATGATTTGAATGGAAGCAGTAAATCAATAGCTTCCAAACAAAGTATTTATTCTTAAGTGATGAGAAAATTTAGTCTTTTGGAGAAACATTCTAGAATAAAAATTAATGTGTATGCAAATTTTACTCATGTAAAGTGATAGTGGTAATGAAGAAGGGTAGGTAGGTACAGGCAGGAAGAAGGTTCAGATTGTGTCAGAGGTAATGTGAATTGAGTCTGCAGTTGGGCTCTAGCTTTTCAGTTGTGCTAGTACAAGCTTCAGTTGTAAGTAATGTGGCTAAGAAGTGCTATTGTTTTTTTAGTTTTCTTGTTTTTTAATACTTTTATATCTCTGAGGGTAAAATATAGTAAAAGGAGAGCCTTATTTTAGTATTAGGGTATTAATGAGACAGAATAAGTACTTGTTACTCACTGTTATTTTACTTCTTCTAAAACAATTATTAATTACAGTGGATTTCAACTTAACTACAGATTCGAAGAAAGCTTGGTTTTATGTACCATGTCAAAAACAACACTACTTACAAATTTTGTAGCTGCATCATGCAGAAATATTTACTTTTCAATGAATTTAACTACAAATTTTAAAATGTTTAAACTTAAAACAAGTCATCAAAAATACTCAGAATAATATGAACAAACACTATCTTCAAAGAGGAAACAGCTAGTTACTATTAGCTGTGTTGGTTTGAATGCGATGTTCCCCATAAGCCTTGGGCATTTGAATAGTTGGTCCCAAGTTGGTAGCCCTGTTAAAGAGATTAAGATGTTGCCTTGCTCAAGTGTGTCACTGAGGGCAGGTTTTTAGGCTTCAGAGGCTACACAACATTCCTAATTCACCCTGCTTCCTGTTTATGGTTTGAGATGGGAGCTCTTAACTCTCAGCTTCCAGCGGTCACATCCGTTACCGGCTGTCAGGCTGTCCCCATCATTATGGAACCTAATTCTCCAGAACTGAAAGGCCAAAACCCTTCCTTCTGTAAGTTGTCTTAGTCATGATGTTTTACCACAAATAGAAAAATTAACTAATACAGAAACTGGTACCAGGGAGTGAGCTCTGACAGACTTGACCATGCTGCTTTTTGGAGGAGTGCAGAGGAATCTGGAATTCTGAACTAGAAAAGCGGTTGAACACTTAGGTGAAGCTTAATGGGAACTTAGTGGGCCATGTTAGCAGGAGCTTGGAAGACACTAGTGCTTTATGCCAAGGAGAGGCCCAGCTCAAGAGATTTTAGAAGGAACAATATTAGCAACTGGGCTAAAACCATTCCTGATATTTTGGCAAAGAATATGGCTGCTTTCCTGCCTTTGTCCTAAGAACTTCCTTAAGGTTAAATTTAAAAGTAATAGTCTAATTTCTTGGGTGGAAATTTCAAGGTATCCTAATATTGGCTCTGTTGTATGATTATTAGCCACCAATCATATGTAGGTCTACAATGAAAAGGAGCAAATGCAGTAGAAAGAAATACAAAATGTACAGTTTAGAGAAAAAGGACACTGCAAGCTAAGTGTTATAGCCATGGCTTGTGCTGGAAGAGAGGCTGTAATTGTTAAGATTCACACCATTAAGGAGAGGCCAATGTTGCATACTTGAGCATCTTTTGGATATATGCCGAGGAGTGGTATAGCTGGATCTTGAGGTAGCACTATTCCTAATTTCCTGAGAAAGCACCAGATGATTTCCAAAGTGGTTGCACAAGTTTACATTCCCACCAGCAATGGAGGAGGGTTTCCCTTTCTCCACATCCTCTCCAGCATGTGTTGTCACTTGAGTTTTTGATCTTAGCCATTCTGGTGGGTATAAGGTGAAATCTCAGAGTCATTTTGATTTGCATTTCCCTGATGACTAAGGATGTTGAACATTTAAGTGTTTCTCTGCCATTCAGTATTCCTCTATTGAGAATTCTCTGTTTAGCTCTGTACCACCATTTTTTAATTGGATTACTTGATTTGTTGCTTTTTAACTTTTTGAGTTCTTTATATATTCTGGATATTAGCCCTCTGTCAGATATAGGGTTGGTGTCTCCAAGGGGGTTCCCTAGTAATGGAACAGGAACTGTCTCTGACATGAACTCAGTGGCTGGCTCTTCGATCATCTTCCCCCCTGAGTGGGGAGTGGCCTTACCAGGCCACAGAGGAAGACAATGCAGCCAGTCCTGATGAGACCTGATAGGCTAGGGTCAGATGGAAGGGGAGGAGAACCTCCCCTATTAGTGGACCTGGGGAGGGGCATGAGAGACGAGGAAGGGAGGGTGGGGTTGGGAGAGAATGAGGGAGAGAGCTACTGCTGGGATACAAAGTGAATAAACTGTAATTAATGAAAAAATAATATTTTTTTTTAAAAAAGGAGAGGCCAAATCTGCAGTGGAATAAAGGCAAGGGTGCCCTTTGGGCAGGACCCCACCCAACTAAGCTTTCAACTTGTAAAAAAAAAAAAAAAAAAAAAAAATCTGCCCCTAAAAAGCAACAAAAATAGCTGCTGCTAATGCGGTAAAGGGAGGCAGAATTCATCCCATGTGTGCAGCTCCTGTTAGCAGTGTCATTCACATGGTGCTGGCTGCAGAGTCATGAAGGATAAACAGAGGATAGACTTCCTCTGCAGTTTAAGAGAGTCACTGAGGTTAGGCATGTGGGCGTGGGGGCGGTGGGCTGAATGGAGGCCAGAAGCTGTGTGTAAAGTAAAACCTGGGTTATGTTGGGAGACCCCAAGATATTAAAAATTGCACAGTCTGGGAGTGGAACCAGCCTGGTGGTGTGGTGATCCTGTAGGTAGTAAAGCTGGAAGGACAGTTCCATCTAAGCACTTTGATATCAGACAAGAAGCTACATCATTTGGAGTTTGCCCTGTTGGGTTTTGGTCTTGCTTTGGTCTTCTATTTCCTCACTATTCCCGTAGTCCTTCTTTTGGGAATTGTAATGTGTATCATATGTCCTTTATGATACAACTATGTAACTTGGGTTTTTTTGTTTTGTTTTGATTAGACAGACGGTTATAGCTGAGAGACTGTCTTGAATCTCAGAAGAGATGTTAGACTTTAAAACAGTGATGAGTCTCAAAAGACTGTGGGAGGTTTTGAAATTAGGCTAAATGCATATATTTGCATTATAAGATGACCAGGAGCCTCTGTGGGCCCACAAGCAGAATGTGGTGATTCACATGAGATGTCCCTCAAAAGCCTCAGGCACCTGAATACCTGGTCCCTCGTTGTTTTGGAAAGGCTTAGGAGGTGTGCAGCCTTGCTGGAGGAAGTGTGTTAATAGGGGCTGGCTTTGAGGATGTGTGGTTTCTAGTAGTGCTCGCTCTCTACTTCCTGTTTGTGGTTTGAGATGTGAGCTGTCATATTCCAGCCTTCATGTCTCATTCCTCCTTGCATGCTCTCTTCATCATTATGAATCCTACTGGAACCATAGCCACCAAATAATTCCTTCCTTCTGTAAGATAGCTGGTTATGGTGTTTTATCACAGAAATAAAACACACTACTATAAGCCCAAATATAAAAATGTCTACCTATTATATGAAAATATGTACCCAATGAGGTTGGACACCAACTCAAGTGAAGCTGCTTCTCAAACAGGGAATGCTACTGAGTTCTCTCAAGGAACATTTTTGTACTAGTGTCACTGTGTTCCTTTCTCTTGGCTGTGTATTCTAAAATCCCAAACAATCTTTCAGATGATCTAAAGTTATCTGGGTCATCTCTCCACAAAAGAACACTGTGCTAAAGAAGAGATTAAGCAGGCAACTTGATTAGTTCTTACACTAGTGGTGATGACAGGGGCTATCGTCAATCACCAGCAGATCATGCAATAGAGAAAAACCAGTCACCTTAAGTCCAATAGTATATTTAATAGAGGAGACTGTGCTGCTTTAAAAATGAGGCACACCTGGTCTGAATAAACCCACTTCAACTGCAGTTAGTTATTAAACATCTTTTTATTTGGTAACTAAAAGTCAATACTGGAATACTTATAAAAGAAAGAAACTGAGTCTGACTCAAACCTAGCATCTGAAGTTTCTTCTAGGCATAAAAATTTTAGTTAAATGTGGAAATGAACCTCTCCATACAGGATCATATAAATTAGCATGTATTAATACAAATATAAAATATTTATATATATAAAAATAAAAATCTTTAAAAAACCTCATTGTAATCAAAAGTCCTAGACATTAAAATAAACAAAAATGTGCTGTTCCTTACACAGCCATTTTCTTATGTTATCTTTTCGTGTATGCTATGTATATCTCTGTCTATATGTGTGGGTGCTGGCACCTTTCTCCCACTGTGTTTGGAACAGGGTTATCTTTGTTCATCATTGCATCTTGTAGGCATATCGTAGGCTGACCTCAAACTTCTCATGTAGCTGAGAATTACCTTGAGCTCCTGATTCTCCTGTTGCTTACTCTCAAGAGCTGGGATCACAGCAACATGTGTACTGTCACATCCAATTTATGCAGTGTGGAGGAGCTGGGTATTGAACCAGGGCTTCCTATATGTTACACAAACTGAGCTACATACCCAGCCCATACAGCAGAATTTCTTAAAAAGCATTTTAAAGACCTTTAAAAAACGGAAATAAAAGCAATTTCTTTTTTGGGGTGTGTATGTGTGTTCCTATGTGGGCGCCTGTGGTATGTATGTGCATGTGTAGGCCAGAAGCCAATGTTGGGCTGTCTTCCTTAATCATTTTCCACCTATTTTTGAGGCAAGGTCTCTCAGTGAACCTAGAATTCACTGCTTTTGTTAGGTAGACTGGCTGGCTGGCAAACTCCAGATATCCCCCTGCCTCTGCCTCCCCAGGACTAGGATCACACGTGGGTACTGCTGTACCTGGGTTCTTACCTGGCTGCTAGGAAGCTAAACTTTTAAATGCATGCTTGCACAACAAGCACTTTACCAACTGAACCATATCCTTAGCTCTAAATAACAGCCATTTAAAGAAGAAGTTCTGTTGGCTCTGACTTAAATTTCTGTATACAATAAGACTTATTTCTCACCATCTAGCTGCTATGCTACTATGACCACTACTACCTTCTCTCCTTTGGAGAGATGTAATTGTCTCCTTGTAACTCTGTATTCAATGAGGCCCATTAAAGTTATAATATATAAGTCCTTTTATACCATTTATCTCTTTCCTATTCTACTTTATCTATGATTTTCCTTATTCCATAGTCATAACTATTTTTTTAAACAAACTTTAAATTACTTGTATTTATCAAAGTAGAAAGTCTGTAAGGACATCAACCTTTGTTCTACTTGTTAAAGTACTTTAAGCCCTAGACCAAGTTATATGATCAGAATTTGTAAAGTAAATAATTAAATTGCTTTACTTATGAAACCAACATTGAGAAACAGGTTAAGCATTCCGTATGCAGTCTGGCTTGAGAAACACTAATTATGACAAACTAAACAACATGTACTCATCAGAGGAGTTGCCATACCAGATAAAATAAGCAGCTCAATGATTTCTGCATCTCCAAGATAGGCAGCGGCATGCAAAGGAGTTCTTTTCTCATTGTCCTGTGAAAAGATGAAACAGCACTTTTAGAATAATAAAAAATCTAATAAAGTTTAAATGAGATAAATACATTATTAACTCTCAAATAATTATTTCCACAACTCTACTCTGCAAGTCTCACCCTCAAAAATAGGGTTGTTTCAGGGCTAAGACAGGTTTACAAACGAACTTGGCTATAAAACCATGGCTTAGCTGGGCACAGTGGCACATGCCTGTGATCCCAGGACTCAGAGAGGTAGAGGCAGGGGGATATTTGTGAGTTCAAGGCTAACCTGGTCTACAAAGTGAGTCCTGGACAGCCCAGGCTACACAAAGAAACTCTGGCTTGAAAAAAGAAAACAAAACAAACAACAAAACAAAACAAGTCCATGGCTTAGGTGAACCAACCTATTCTATTTTAAAAATCTACAATTCCAAAATTAATTTTGAAGAAATTTTGTTTCACATGTAGAATTCTCAAAGATATTATGCACAATTATCCTTAGCTGGTGTGTAGAAGGCATGTTGTTGCAGGATATTTGATCCCATCATGAACCTGGAACTTGTGAACTATAAAAACCTGTTTATAGTTGTGGAGTGGCTCAGCCCTAGCACAACACCTTGAATTTGAGAATTTTCTATTTATTGTAAACAGGTGGGTATGGTGTGGCTCAGCTCTAGCACAACCTTTATCCAAGAATTTTCTGTAAAAAGGATTAAATAAAGTTAACCCTACATCAAGAGGGTTAACAAGAAACCAACTGACAGCGTTTAAGTAGAAAGGAGGAACTTTGAAAGAAGGTTATTTAAGACCACAGAGGACCTCTGAAAGACTCTACCCAGCAGGGTATTAAAGCAGATGCTGAGACGCATAGCCAAACTTTGTGCAGAGTGCAGGGAATCTTATGAAAGAGGGGGGAGATAAAAGACCAGGAGGGGACAGGAGCTCCACAAGGAGAGCAACAGAACCAAAAAAAAATCACAGGGGTCTTTTCTGAGACTGATACTCCAACCAAGGACCATGCATGGAGATAACCTAGAACTCCTGCACAGATGTAGCCCATGGCAGCTCAGTGTCCAAGTGGGTTCCCTATTAAGCTGAACAGGAACTGTCTCTGACATGAACTAAGTGGCTGGCTCTTTAATCACCTCCCCCTGAGGGGGAGTGGCCTTACCAGGCCACAGAGGAAGACAATGCAGCCACTCCTGAAGAGACCTGATAGACTAGGATCAGATGGAAGGGGAGCAGGCCCTCTCCTTATCCGTGGACTGGGGGAGGGGCCTGGGAGGAGAGGAGGGAGGGAGAGTGGGGTTGGGAGGGAACAAGGGAGGGGGCTACAGCTGGGATACAAAGTGAATAAAATGTAATTAATAAAAATAAATGAATAAATTAAAAAAATAAAGACTGTAGAAGAAAGCTTTTTGGCTTTTTCCATCTGGGATGGAGTTGAGTAGGAGGGCCTTTGCCTTCTGGAATCTGAGCTGGGTACTTTCTCCACCTCTCTGAGCTAGTAGGTTTTCACTCCAGCATTTGGCTCCTGAGTCTTTATTGGTAAAATTGAACATTTGGGATTTTCGGTTTTTAAAACAAAAGCATGTGAGATGATCTCATGATTAGGCTTGAGTCTCATCCTCAAAACAATCCTCCACATAGACGGAGTAGATGGATTGATAAACAGAGATCCACCAGATATTTTTAAAAACCTGAAATCTCACCCACTCTGGTATCAAGAATTTTAAAATAAGCGATATAAAAGAATAAATAAAAATACAGACAAGAAAACAGTTTAAGACTTTATTGATGCATATATTGCAATTGGGCGAGCGCGCACACACCTTTTTCAAGACAGGGTCTCACTATGTAGACTAGGCCGGCCTCAAACTCAGAGATACCCACCTGCCTCTGCCTCCCAAATGCTGGGATTAAAGGAGTGCACCACTATCCCCGGCTTAAGCAAGTATTTTCTTTATATGCTACTTTTCTTTTTGCCAACACACTTCCTCAATTTTAAAACAGTTTAGAATTACCAGCTTAACACACCAAATACAAACGTCAAAAAATCGATAATTTATGAATCAAAATGCGTTCATAGGAATACTCATAGGAGGCACAGGAAAAAAAAGGTCTTTGTGAATTTATAATTACCTTTTAACACAACACCAAAGGTTAGTCTTAATTTTTCTATTGGTTTTTACTTTCATACTAAAAAAACATATGTTTAACATAAACAAATACATCCATTTTTCAAATCTTTTTCCAGAAAGGGGAGCTACATAAATATATAGTTTTGTAATTCTCTTCCTCCAAAACAAGTGTACTCCAAATGAGGAAGCAAGGTACAAAGTAATGTCATATAATGAGATTTTAAATTAATATATACCACATACAAAATTAGAATGAATTATCAGTGACATGGCTATTTTGTAAAAAAAATTATTTCTTTAGAGATAATTCTTTTGAGATTTACACTTAGTATTGTTGATGAGGGCTTTTGTATTAAATTAAGTTTTTTATTTTTTCATCCATGTTCTCCTCACTGCCTATAGAAACTAGTTGTAGCTCACCATTTACCCACATGGTAAGAGGTTTTATCTCTACATTACCTGAAGTTACACTTGTGTGGTCTAATAGTAGAGGAGTGAAGTCAACTCACATACCGTTCAGATCACCTTTATTTTAAAAGGTAACTAACTGAATCCTATGTGGTTGCACAAGCCTATAATCCCAGCACTAGGGAAGGCAGAGGCAGGAGGATCTCTGAGTTTGAGGCCAGCCTGGTCTACTAAGCAAGGCCAGGCCAGTCAACGCTACACAGAAAAACCCTGTCTTTTGAAAAGCCTAAATAAATAAAGAAATATATAAGTAAGCAATTAAATAAGTAAGTAAATGGAAACTGTCAACCTGGGTGACTGAGCATATGTAACAGCAGCATTTGGAAGGTTGAGGGAGAGGGATCATAGTCCAGGCTAAAATATGTAGCAAGATTTTGTTAAAAGACAAAAATGAAATAGAACAACCAACCAGTTTCCAGCTGGAGTATTCTCCACTGCTTGCAGGCAGAAAGGCAGATAGGAGACTGAGCCAGCTCTGAACAAGGTGCCGTCACTGCAGACCATCAAATGAGACTGAGGGATCACAAAAACTGACCCACCATCTTAGAACACTGACTTCCAGACTTGTTAGAAAAATAAACTCATATAAAGCAGCATATTCCCCAAGTCTTCACCATGGGGTTGTATATGTGGATACATGGTTACAGATGTGTGCACATGGAGGGCAGATGTCAACCTCAGGAGCCATTCATCAAGAGCTGTCTGCTTTGCTCAGACAGGATCACCCTCTGGGACACCAGGCTTGCTGGTTAGGCGAGGCTGGTTGGTCAGGGATTCCTAGATATCTCTCACTGCCGTTCTAGTGCTGGTATTCATGTGCCACCAACATCCAGCTTTTATGTGGGTGTGAGACATCATATTCTGATCCTCGTGCTTATCCAACAAGCACTTTACCCACTGAGCTATCGCCACAGCCTCAAGATTTTAAAGATAATAAATTTACTTGATTTGTAATAATTTTCTAGTTTGAGAATTTCTAAATTACTCTAAGAAAGAACAGCTGAGAGTAGGAATTGGGGTGAGGAGGCTTAGCAATACCATATTAAAATACTACATGGGAAATTGGTTTAGTTTTATTAATGTTAAGTGAGTTAGTAAGCTAAGAATTTTCATCTCTATGACTGGAGTTAGAATCCACTGCAACATGCTTTTTATTTTAATTTTTACCCCAGGAAATGGAATTGAGATTAATCACACACCAAACAGCTACAGAAAAGCTCACACAAAATACCTAGCAAACATTGAAATATAAAGATTTCTTGTAAGCCCAATGCTAATTTAGACATATTTTTAAAGAGGAACTCTGCTTAGGCTTTTTGGAGCTACCCATTAACCAAAAAAAAAAAAAAAAAAAAAAAAAGCTGCTAACATGAAAATGTGATTGGATCTAGTCAAATAGAAAACCATCTCTAATGCAAAGAATAAACATAACAGAAAGCGCGGTGACACAGAAATAGAGAGATGCCTAGAATTCTGTGACTTGAGGCTTGGAATACTATGAAGCTATTTGACTCATATGAACACAATATTCCTCTATGCAAATCAAAATAAAAGAAGGGAATTAAATAATAATGAAAGGAAAAATGCATATCTTATTTTACTTTGCTACAGCTAAACAATGAAAATTAGGCAATGAAACAGCTAAAATTACTTTTTTAAAATGATGAAATTCCAACCTTTTTATTCAATCACTGTGGGGAGCAAAATGCTGAAAACAAATTAGATGGCCCCTACATGGTCACTTAAATAATAGAACACAAAAAGCTCTAAATCAACCTTTATTTAACTAACCCACATGATTAACCAATATTCTCGGTTTCCTGGGTAAAATGAATAATTAGTTTTTGCACATGAGGTACTTTGACTCATAGTCTTCCACTAATAAATCCACAAACTCTTGATCATACAATGGGGTCTGTGTTTGCCAAGGGTAAAATGTGTTTGTAATTTATGTATATGTGGTTTATTTAAATAACACTTAAACTGATAAATCAGGAATGAAGAACCAAATATTTCCACATCAACAGGCTACATATTTTTTTTGAAATTCAATAAAGGAAAGCTATAAAAACATTTAAAGAGTGCTAGAGAATCGGAAGATGGTTAAGACTACTGAAACACTAAGGCTGTCTGCTTTAGTAAGGAGTACGAGTATAAATCTCAAGAGTTTTACTCTGAGACTAGGTTTGTCCTAGAGGATTTCCCCATGTACTGCAGGCTGACCTAAAACTCTTATGTAATTCATGGAGGGCTCAAACTCAAGATCATCCTGCCTCTGGTGAGGTGATTATAGGCCATGTGCCACCAGGCCTGCCTAAAGATGGTCAGTTCAGGGCTTAATTTCTCATACCACTTAAAGAACTCCTACATGAAAGGTATAGATAATGCATTGTGGGTATAGTTCAAGAAA